CCAAGCCCAGTACCTCCACCAGTTATAAAGGCCACTTTCCCTTGGAAGGTATTTGGTGGCAACATCACTTTTTGAAGAGGTGAGAAGAATGCAGCTTGTGGTGCACTGCTGTCTTGGTGCAGCACATTTGGCCCACGGCTGAAAAACTGAAAGGAAAAAAACCCAGAAAAGTTAGTTTATTATACTGCAACTAGAGAACTACTGAAAAAATACTTCAGTCATGCTTCTTGCTACTTCATGCATTTTTTGTATCTATCAGTTTTTCTAAAAGCATGTGGGAAACCATTAACAAGTAATTACAGAAGGACTTGGGCATCAGCTTGATATATGCACTGTAATTTATGCATAAACAAATCCACGTGATTTTATGTTACATATGTATGTATTTACAAATTTTAAATCTTCAGTAATAGACTCATGATTTTGATCCTTTACTACTGCATCCAACTGAACCTTCTCTACTGGAGAACAGGACAGAATCAAACTTCACAAGACCTGTCCTAATGGCCATTGGAGCTGCTAAGGAAACCAATGCCATTGCCCAGACAAAACCGGGCAGGGTTACGTTATCAGCATCACACCCTATCCCCCTTATCCCAGCAGAAATACCATGTACAGTAGTACATTAGCCTCAGAAAGACTGGTCCCTGCAAAAAGAAACATGATTGGAACACGTTTAAAAACAGACATGAAAAAAGAAGGAAATTCAGTATTATATCTAGAAAACTATGCTAGTAAGAAAATACCCCACAAATGTACTGAGAAATTTGTGATGTCACCAAGGAAGTTGCAGCAAAAATAGCTAACAAGATATTTCTAGCATCTTAATATGCTAAACTAACTCAAACCCTAATCTAAGTATTGAATTAAATGCCTTGGGACAGAAGCACTACAATAATAATTGTGAAATTCCCTTATTTAAAATACAAAAGTTACCATAACCTGAAGCTGCAAATGCTTCCAAGTATGACAAAACTAGATTTGCTTTATTTTTGATGTGCAAAACAATTAGAAGACTGAAAGTTATACTTATTTTCTCTGGTTTTACCTTGTACTTGTGCTTATTTTAATAAAAAAAAAAAATCTAATACAATTTTGTGAAAGAAAACTGAATGGTTACTGTTGTATGATCCTGTTAAAAAAACTATGCAATTGTTCAATAGACTGACATGAAGAAGAAAGGTAGTTTTAAAATAGTAAAAATATTGCACCTTATTGTTCTGTTTACTAATTCACATTTTGAACACTAAAATTAAGAGACAATGTATTTAGTGGTAGATGATTACTCCGGACTTCCCACAGCTACAATGCATTGAGAGTTTCACAGAGTTTGAAGCTGGCCTGCAGAAGTGTGCACATGGATCCTTCTGAGTGGTACTACATATATGCATAAGTAACTCAGGAGAACACAGAGAGAACCACTATGGAATTACACAGACAATTTAATACAGCTTAAAGCATGGTGCTTTAAGCAGGAAAGGGAAATATGAAGGTTCCCTTTTTGGATTTAGTAGGCCCCTACTCATCCCTCTTCAGGAAAAAAAGCTCCCTCTGGAGAATTTCAGCTCATGGAAGAGACTGCAAATCAAGACAGCATTTGGACTCCCTTCAGGACATGGAGATAATCCTTGTGAGTGCTAAGACTCCCTTATCAGGTGCTCTAGTAGTGATAGACACAGCCCAGTCTTCTTGCTCTCCACGAAAGAAACACTGCAAGCAGCTTTCCTTCTGCTCCAGGGAGGAAGATAAGGACATGCTATAACAGAAGGAAGCAGAAGGCTGCACCAAGACTGATAAAGTATGGCAGTGATAACCAGCCAGTAAAGTTGTTATAATTGAGCAATCTTTTAGTCAGACTGCTTCTCCTTACTGGCTTGCACAAGAGGCTTCTATGACAGCATCCATGCAATTTAATCATTCCACTGCTTAAGGCTGAGATTTAAACTTAAATCTCAGGTGTAAACAGAGATATAAAGAAGTCAGTAAACAGCTTTAAAAAAATAAACATCAAACAACTAACACACAAATCATTGACAAACAAAAAACAACCCTCACCCAAGGGGTGGAAGTGAATTGTGAAATTACTGCAGAAGGCCATCTCAGAAACACAGAGTAGTCACTGGAAAGAAGTACCGTGTTCGTGGAGAACTGACTAGACATGGCCTCCAGCAATACCCACCTAGTCACAGAATCACAGAATGGCTTGGACTGGAAAGGACCTTAACGATATTATCTTGGTCCAACCCGCCTGTCATGGGCAGGGACACCTTCCACTGTAACAGGCTGCCCACAGATCCATCCAACCTGGTCTTGGACGCCTCCACAGATGGGGCATCCACAGCTTTTCTTGGTAACATGTCCATATCTAACCCAAAGCACCCTCTTTCAATCTGAATCCATTCCCCCTTGTCCTGTCACTACATGTCCCTGCCATATTTCTTGCAGGCTCCCTTCAGGTACCGGAAGCCAGCCATAATGCCAACTCGGTCACAAGTCAAGCCACGCCACTGCTTGGACAGCAACATTCCAGCCATTTACCGAAATGGATGGCCCTGCACAGCTGTGCTATCGGGGCCAAAGGGCGACAGCACTCGGGCGGGCGGCACAGCGCCCGGCGGTGGGGCAGCAGGCCGTGTGCCCGGGGGCTCAGCCCGGGGGCTCCGCGGCGGACAGCGCCGGCAGCTGAGGGGAGCCGAGGGCCGCTCCCTTCCCGGCAGCTTCCCCAACCCCGCCGCGGGGACCGCAGAGCCCCGCCGTGCCCTCCCGCTGACGGGACAACGGCGCCCGGGCAGAGCCGGGGCGGCGGGGCAGGAGGTGCGGAACATCTCCGCGGCGCCGCCCGTCCGCCCTCACCCCGGCAGCGCGGGAGCGCCTTACCCGCCCGGCGCCGAACGCGCGGGGGCCGCGCACCCCGCGCCGCCACAGCCGCGCCGCCGCCGCCATCTTCCCCCGCCGCGCTCTGCGCCTGCTCCGCGGGGAGCGGCCGCGGCAGCCGGCGGCACCGCCCCTGCCCCAGGTGCCGCAAAACGAGAAGGTGTAAAAAATTTGTTAAGAAAGGACGTTCTTTGATGTTTGATCTTTGTATACTTTCAAGCCTAATCAGCAAGAAAGGTGCAAACAAGCTCTAAGCGATGTCCAGGTGAAAACAAATTATTTGTCGGTGGAATTGCCTTGCTAAGGCTTAGGGCTTGACATGATTCAGTAACCTCAGAGCTAGAGAGAGAGTAACAAAACTTGGAAAGAGGGATGTACTACTGACAGTGGACACAAAGAATGCAGGATTTATGGGCTACCAAGGGCATTTGGCAGAATCCCCACGATAAACAAAAACTAATAAAGTCAACTCCGCAACTTCGCTCAGGTCAGCTCTGACTGGGTATTTCTGGTGGGGGAGATTGCCCACTGACCCAAAAGAAGAGAATGACTGAGTGTATGGACTAAGCAACATGAGAAGTGAGAGAATCGCTTAGATGATAGAATGCTAATTAGTAAGAGAACTAGGTAACTGTTACCAATGAACATGAATACCCTTGTTTGCTAAAATGTTTAAATAGTGAAAAGTTTTGGTTTCCTTGTGCTGGCCTTGTGGATTTGTGACTCAACATGCCTTTCTGCACAGAACTGTTAATAAATCAAATCTGGTTTGGCCTCTTGCACACCAGGTGAAAGCACCTATTTTGGAACAGCACAGGAGCGCCTTCTCAGCCACAGCCACTGCCCCGGTGCCTTCAGTTCTAGCTGTGAGAATTGGAGAATGCTTGATTTATCTGTGTTGAGCACAGTGACCGACAGATGGAAAAAGTAATGACTGACTGATACCCACCCATTTGCACAGCCTTGATAACCAGGCACAGAAACCTACAGAGTTGTGTCTACTCGTAAGGAAGGGTAAGGGGCTGGGAGAGTAGCACAGAAGCTGTAAGAACCTACAGATTTAATAAAGCTTCAGGTTTTGAGGGGAGGACATCACACTTGATGAATCTATTCAGTTACAAAATTTGTCATGAAAGACAACAAATCTATCAGTGGGTCTGTGCTATCAACTTTTGAGCTAAGAATTCCAGGCAAACTGATTACACACTGCTGTGGGAGTTCAGAGGAAGCAGAATTTAAATCCTATGGCTTAGTCATAATTGCTCTGTGTAAAAATGGTGAAACAGCTATTTTCTCAAAATGTTCAGCATTTAGGAAAAAAATAGTTGATGCTCTGTTGGTTCAGCAAGCTCTAGAGTAAGTAACATCTTTGTAAGTTCTACACACAGTCTGGCAAGCATCGAAGCAATAGTGCCACACTGTTGGGCAGTAGTTGCCACATTTATCATTAAAGCAGCATATGGAAAATATCTGGTAAGAGTTAGGGAGTTGCTCTAAGACTTACATAGTAACATGCCATTACACGCAGTTAACTCAACCACACAGAGTCTCGAGGCATTTGTAATCACAGAAAAACAAAACAAAACCGCAACAAAGAACGAACCCCAAGAAATAAACAAAAACAAACAAACAAACAAAGTTGGAGAAACAGAGTGTATATAGTTCAAGGGAAGCTTTTACCATGCCAAATACTCCAGAATTTAGGAAGCTTCATCGGATCAATGCTAGCATGAGGAAACAAACGACAAACCACGCACTGGAGAATACAAATGTGCCAAACAGCTACCTGTGAAATAATCATTGTATTTCTATGGTGAAAGTGAACACGATGATACGACTGAATGTATTAGTTTTCCACGGCCTGGGTTTTGGTACCGGGGGGGGGCGGGGCAAAGAGCGTGGCTCCTGTGAGATGCCAGCCCCAATTCACTCTGACACGGGGCGAAGGAGACCGGCTGTGACATGGGCACAGACGAAACCCGCGGGAGAGCGCCCGGCCCGGCCCGGCCCGGCCCGGCCCCGCCCCGCCCCGCCCCGGCCCCGCCCCGCCCCGCGCACGCGCGCCGGCCCACAGCCGCCGCGGTCGCGCGCGGCCGGTAGGCGGCGCCCTCTGCCGCGTCCGTCCCCTTAGCCCAGCCCGGCCCGGCGCGCGGGGCGGCGGGGGCGGCCCATCCCGGGATTTTCTCTGCCCGGCCCGGCCTTGTGCGGGTCGCCGGGGGCTGCCGGGCGGAGCTCCAGGATGTGGAAGCTGGTGCCCGCCTCGGGAAAAGGTGAGGGAACGCCAGGCCGCTCCGCCGCTCCTGCAGGCTGGGCGCGGGCAGCGCGGCCCCTCCCCGGGGCCCGGGCGGGCCGCGTTGGCTTCCCCGGCTGGCTCCCGCCGCGCTCCGGTGCCCGCGCTGCCCCGGCCTGTGGTGATCTCCGTCCTGGGCGCTCGGGGCGTTCTCCACGGCGAAGCCTCCGTGTTTCACTGGTGCGCTGCCGACCACAGTGGCTGTTAAACCTAGCAGGGCTTCTTCGAACCTGTGTGGGATGCCCTGGGGTGCTGCAGGTTACAGAGTCCTGCTTCCAAATACCTCTGAACTCTGAGGCAGCAGCCTCAGAAACGATCTGTAACTATTGTGTCGATGTTTCAAGGACCAAGTGTTGAACTTCATGGGGATTCTTGCATGAAGAGTTTTGAAACTAAATCGCCTCTTTATTGTTCTTCGTTTTCTTGTCCATAGAAGCTTTAATAGTATTTATATAATACATATATTTCTTATTAAGTGCTTATAAGGTGCAGACTTAAGACAACTGCATCTGCTCTATTTCCTGTTTCACTGGGAGGAGATTTTGGATGTTTATTTCCTGCTGGATACAGCACCTAATCATGTTGAAATGAGCTGACTTACCTTTTACTACCTGGAGAGCTCTTGAGTGAATCAAAACACTCTCATTCTATTCAGAATGATCATTTCTGCGCAGTTCATATTTGGAAAGTTATTTGCCAGGGTTGATAACTGGAATTTGTCTGTGTATACTCATGTTCATCAAGAAACATTTTTGTTTCTGTTGACCAGTGGTAGCACACCTTTGGGAAAGGGTCAAGCCATTCACTGGGAAGCCTCTATTGGGTCCAGGTGGCAGGTACAAAGCATAAGCTAAAGCATAAACATTAGTCAGAGACTGAACTTACTAAGTATCAATTTGATTTACAGGAGGATCTCCTTACATTCATTAGGAGGACATTTTCCTCTGAACATCTTAATCAGATATGTGAATAAATAATTTAACCTCAGAAAATTATGTATCCTTACAAAGGTGTTTTAGAAAAATTATTTTATGTTGTGGGTTTTTTTTGTCTTCTAGATGTTACACTTAATCTTTAAGAAAGTATTGGTAAAAATATATTGTCCTTGAAAAAAGTGTGCCACCACTTTTGAAACTGAATTGTTTATCATAAAAGTTATCCTTTTATAGTGGACAGAGCAAGGGAGTAAGAAAGAAAGAAATAGGTTTTGTCTATAAGCAAAATAGATCATTCTAATTAGAATCACAGAATTCAGTCACAAAATATTCTAAGTTGGAAGGATCATTGAGTCCAGTTCTTAAGTGAATGGTACATATGGGGATAAATCCCACAACCTTGGTATTATTGGCACCTTGCTCTGACCATAAAATGATGCATAGCAAAGCTGAGATTTAGATGTACTACAAACTTCTCAGTGTCTCTCCCATGTACTTCAGGCATTTTGGTGGTGTGTTGTTTTTTTTTTTTTTAATTGGTATTTTTTCTGTCTCTTGTTTATTTCCAGGGGAGCCATATCGACTTTTAAGTGGTGTAGAATATGTTGTTGGACGCAAAAACTGCACAATTTTAATTCAGGATGATCAGTCTATCAGTCGAAGTCACGCAGTTCTGACTGTAAGTCAGCCTGAAACAAGCCCTGTAAGTAGCCACCATTTTACTGCATTATTAATGCACTGTGGGGATAATTCAGGCTGCCATGACCATGCATACTCTCATTTTGCTCTCAGCAGTTTTATGCTTGGAGTAGAACCATTGATCACCTGTCTTTTTTTTTAATCTTGAAATTTATTGTTTCCCCTTAGGTTTTTTGCTTTCATTGTAGAATTTAGTGGCATAATTTTAGTAATCCAAGCTTCCTTTTATCCCAGAGTGAAGATTCACTAGGAATTTCTATTAAAATAATAATAGGAAAATGATGCAATTAAATTTAATTACACAGACAAATTTTAGGTTCTGGGAAGTGCTTCAGTTGTTTTACTTCAGACTTAGTTTCTGTTTCATTTCACATCATTAATTCTGTATTTGCTTAGGGCACAGAAAATAAAAACGTAGCAAGGAGAATTAGCAATCAGCAATTTACTGTCACTGGCTATTGAGACATTTATGGATGTTTTGAAGCCAGTCAGCAGAAATTTCATTTATGTAACCTTATGTAGTGTTTAAAATAAAACATGTAAAATATATTTGTCCTTTTAATACTAAAAATATTGAGGGGACCTTATCAATGTCTATCGTAGCTGGTAGGGTGTCAAGAGGGTGGAGACAGGCTCTTCTTGGTGGTGCCAAACAGTAGGACAAAAGACAATCACAGAAACTGGAACACAGAAAGTTCCACCTGAACATGAGTAAGAACTTTACTGTGAGAGTGACTCAGCGTGCCCAGAGAGGTTATGGAGTCTCTATCTGGATACTCCAAAGGAGCCTGTAGACAGTCCCAAGTTGTGTTCTATAAGGAAACCTGCTTCAACAGGCAGGTTGGATTAGATCACCTCCAGTGGTCCCTTCACACCTTACCATTCTCTGTAGTAGCATGTAACTTCATGGCAGAATTTCATAAAAACAAGCTGTCAGTGTTTTCATTGGCTTGTGAGCCACTTGGGAAATGTGATAGTATCTAACCTCTTCTCAAGAAATGTTGGTGTCCCTAGCATTCCTCATGGAAGGAAGCATAAGAAGGTGCCCTCAGGTGACCTTAGGCTTTTACTCGCTATTCAGCCCAATGCTCAGGGTAGAACTGAGTGGTAGGTAAAAACTTAATACATCTCAGAGCCTTGCTAAATTGCAGTAGCTCAGACTTTGAGCCAATGAATGACTGCCATGCACAGTCTCCAGAAAGATGAAGTGCTATCTCCAAAAAGACTAAGTGTAAGAAGCACTAAAGTTCTAAAGCTAAAAACATGTATATTTTCTCTATTCTGCTACAGCAAAAACCAGAAGATAATTACATATAGCAAGCCTGATTGTCCAAAGTCTTTATTTAAGATGATATTTTATGGGCTCCTTCTTATTTATCCATTGCTTTGATTCACAGTGTAGTAGTAACTTGTTTCTGATAAAGCTGTCTCATTCTGATAAACCATAATGACTTACTTACGTTTATTTTCAGAGTCAGTCTCTCTCAGTACCTATATTAACAGTAAGAGATACATCCAAGTATGGTACTTTTGTTAATGGATCAAAACTCAATGGTACTTCAGTGTCTTTGCAGTCTGGTGATAGAATCAACTTTGGAGTCTTTGAAAGCAAGTTTAGGTAAGTGTTTTGATTATAAAATTTCAAGTAAAAATTAATTTTTAGAAGAGTATTTTAGCACATTGTGCAACTTTGCAAATGATACAGCAATGATTAATTTTTAGAAAGCAAAGAAGGTAAGTAGTATTATGCCTGTGTTCCACACCTGCTTCTGAAATAGTTTTCCATCATATTTTTACATAATTTATTTTGACACTAGGAGATTAAAACTGTAGATAATAAAACATTGGCATTTTAAAAGATAACATGTTGTGTACAGTGAGTATATTCAGGCTCTCTTAGGCAAAGAACAAAATCCTACACCAAATGAGGAAAAGGGAGAAAGGTTTAGAGTTTGTTGGAGCCCTTGTTAGCTGTTTATAATGTAATAAGAAAAGACCTGATGTTGCAGGAGGATGTGAACCTGATGTTGCAGGAGGATGTGATTTTTTTTTTCCCAAATTTAACATGGCAGCCAGTGCTATCTGTTTATTTGTAGGAAGCACTTCTAGAAATGTGGTAACAGATAAATAGAAAAAGTCTAATGACCATTAAAATCAATGTTAAAATAACCGGAAGGTGGCTTTGTGCCTTAAAATTTTATTCAGTTTTATCAATGCTTCTGGTATTGTTTGTTGGAAAAAACCTTGTCATTCTTCTCCAGTTAGTACAATAAATTATTTTAAAATATTTTATGTAAACATACCAGAAACTTGATATGGGAATCACATCATGAGACTTGATACATCATGGCTATTGTACTAGAAAGTCTACAAAGTGGAAAGAAATTTAAAAAATCTAAAAATGAAATAATTTTTGATATGGAATTTGATATGGAAGATCTAAAATATATATAAATGCTTATGGTCAAGGATAATGGAAATGTTAGAAAACTGTTACTTGAAATTGCATTTTATGACTCTTGTGTTTTTAAGTATTGATCTGTTGGTGACCTGTCCTGTAGAGCATGCTTTTGCTTTTGGAGGCACACACTCAAATTTCTATTGCTATTCCCAGACATTGCACTATTCTTGATGTACTAATTCTATGTGATGTCTGTAAAAACCCACAAGTCCATAGAAATAATTCAGACATCAGGTCAAATTGTCATTATTTTTTCTAAATAAAAATCAGTGTTTTGTTTCTTCAGGAATTTTTAAAGCAGGAAGATTTTACTTTGATCTAGATTCGAGTACATATCTTTAATTTTTTTTCCTTCAGATTTCCATGAGATACAAAATGTGATAGTTAAGTCACCTGTGTTCATCATAATGATTGGCTGAATTAACTTAAGCAATTATCTTTTACTTGTTCTTTGCAGAGTGGAATATGAACCTTTGGTTGTCTGCTCCTCGTGTTTAGATGTAGCTCAGAAAAATGCTTTAAATCAAGCTGTCCAGCAGCTTGGAGGCCTTGTAGTGAATGAGTGGACAAAAGAATGTACCCACCTTGTAATGGTATCAGTAAAAGTAACTGTTAAGGTATGTTGAGCTTTTGCCTATTGATAGTATTGCTTTGCAGTTTTCCTATGACTGCTAATTAAATTCTAGACCTGTTCAAGATTTTTCTCTCAAAAACTGTAGTCAACTCTTCTTTTTCTGAGTTTAGAAGATGTGTATGTCAACAGGAGGTTGAAGGGAAAGGAAATAAAGCCAGTTTTAGAGACTTAGTGATTTTCATCAGTTGCCTTCTACATTTTCATAACTTCAATCAAGATACCAATTAAAAGCTAAGCTGTTAGAAGCAAACAATCCTAGAAGCAAAAATCAGGATTGCTTTATTTGTTTGATATTTTCCACATCTTAGATCTTAAAAAGCTAATGTCAGTCAAACCATATTCTATTTGAACTTTTTCTGTGCAGTAAATTTGCATTTTCTGATTTTTCAGACTATATGTGCTTTGATTTGTGCTCGACCAATTATAAAACCAGAGTTTTTTCCTGAATTAATCAGAGCTATTCAGTCCAGGCAACAGTTGCCAAATCATGAAAGGTAAGTTGCCAAATCATCATGTTTACTGTGTTGCAGAATGAAACTTATGGGAGTTGGATTATCAGATAACTACACATTTATCTATAATTTTTGACATAATACACAATTAATAGTAATTTTATTTGCAGAGGAATGCTTAATATTATAAACATTTTAATATTCCATCAATTTTATTCTTCTCATCTCTAGAGTTATAAAATGAGTTCTGGAGTTGGCTTTATGCTTAGAGATGTTACTGTCTCTGAAAAGGAATTTGTTTTGTTGGTATCTAAATGTTGTTTCAAACACTTCTGGATACATGGATACATAAAAATAAAGAAATTACACTTTTATAAAATAAATTTTATCAAGTTTATTTCATTATGTAGACGTATTTTCCCAATGTGCTGTTAGTTACTGAGTTGACTGTAATCTTTGGTCAGAACAGAGTTAACCTGACTGTTGAATTCTCTGAAACAGAAGAGGTTTCTAATTATCTGTTGGGAGTTGAAGTGAGACTAACATGCATTGGCTTTCACTAAGTGAGAATGAAATATTCATTGTTTTCATGGTTAAATTAACTTCAAAAGGGAATTCTTATTTTGGAATCAATAAATACTGCAGAATAGGTCTTATTTTCTCAATGTGAGAAAATGTAAAATAGTCACAATATTGTATGTGACAATTTCATCTGAGCCCATATTGCTACTCATTTTACCTTGAAAATATTTTGTTTGAGGGTTATGGTTTTAGTTTTTTTATTGTATGAACACATGGTTTATACAGGTAAGAAATTCCCACTATGTATATACATTCATATGGGGATAAATACATATATGTTAGGAAATAGCAATTTATTTTGTTCAGTAGGTATGGTAGTAGTCATTGATGGAATAGTTTGAAAACTGAGGCTGATACTAAACAAGCTTCTGGTACACACATGGAAATAGAAACAGAACAAGAGGATTCACAATAAGCTGTGCTTGAAAGCTGGTAAAATATATTTCACAGAACATGACACTACCTTGTTACAAACATACAGATACCAATCTGGAGCAATTGGTAGGAAATACTCCTTAATTTATAGAAGCTGTTTTACATTAGCAGGGTTATGTAATATGTCAAATCAGTCATCTGTGAGTGGCTTAAAACTAATTTGTTCTTCAGTTTCAGAAGAGAGAATCTGAATGAATTTTCCTTCTACTTTCCCTTCTACTTAAATTTCTGCATTGTTTTCTGAGGATGTAAGAAAACTAAACAAACTATTTACTACTTTCTGAAATACTTGTGAGTTTTTTTTTTCTTTTGTAGTACAGGTCATATAAGCCATCAAAAACTAGTGATTGGTTGTACAACTTGAAATTCTTTGGTCAAATAATGCCTGATGGTAATGGTGCTGTTCCTGTCTGTTACAGGAACAAGTAAGCAGTGTCTTTGTCTTACAACCAGGATGTGTGTCCATTTAATACAGAAGTGGCAGTATAATTGGCTTTTAAGTGCTCCCTGAAAAAGAAGCAGATGCGTATGTTTACCTTTCTGAAATATTTTTGCTAACTTTTAAGATGCTGAGAGGACCTGAATTGGCTAAAAGTAGTGACTCTAGCAATATACACATTATATAGCTTACAAAGAGAGTTCTGCATCAAGCTAAATGAAACAGCTGATTTAATACACAGATCTATGTTTAAAATAATTGCTGTATTTTAAATAGGTCATGTTTTTGAAATGTTATTTGTGGGAAGATGCTGAAAATTTACTTAGCAACTATTTTCATTAAATTTCCAAAAATACTTCTCACTTTGATTGGGCTTCTCTATATTGTGCATTGTAGCTAGAGCTGACCTGATCTGGTATAGCCACAGGACACCAGACAGCTTCAGGCAATAGTGGTTTGGGTGTGAAATAGAAGTGTATTGAGATAGTAGTAATACTGGGTGATACTGTTAATTATGTCTGTACTATTATTGTAGAGCTGGTCCCTCCCAAAGAGTCTAGGGAAAAAATTATCTTAAAAAGAAAAAAAAATAATTAAAGAGTGTTTTTTGATTGCAGTAAGACTTCATGTAATGGAAAACCTGCAGTTCCTATATGAGTGTGAGACTTCTTGAGATTTTTTTTATGGTGTTACCCCAGTCCTCTGGTACTCTCTGACAACCTGTACAAGGAAGAATAATAACTGATGATTTCACAAGTGGCTGCATGAGCACAATCCTGTACGAAATAATGTGTTTTATTACTGCAGGCCAGTGTCAGTAGTGCAGGGCTTTGTAAAAGAAGAAAAGTAACAGTTTTAAACAGAAACTCACCAAGAATCAAAATCTATTTATTGAGAGGTACAAGGTTGTAGAGGATCTTTTCTAGGTAACAGTGTTACTATTAAAAGCTTATGAGGCCAAATACGAGGAGCACTTCAGAATCCTGACTGCAGAAGACTGTTGTTGCCCGTTGAGCTTAGATCAGCATTGGATAAGAGTTTATAAGGAAAGTCAAAGGTTGTTTTTTTTGGAGGCACTAATGAGTTAGAGTTGCATGCTGGAGTTAAAAAATGGAGATTTAAAAATATATTTATAAAGATACTACAGTCCAGTTTCAAAGTAGTGAAAACTGCTGGTTTTCCATTTTTATTTGTTTTTTCATCTTTAAAGATGACTTTGTCCCTTGTATTTATCTTAGGTTAAAGTGTCTATAGTCTATAGAGTCTCTAAAAAGTGGCTCTGTAGTGTCTCTATTGTGTCTCTTAGGTTTAACTGTCTCTGTAGAATCCACTATCAGAAATCTTCTGGCATAATAACTAAAGTCTGAATTGCCCTTCTTCTACTTGAAATTAGTAGGCTTTATCATACCTGTTCATTTTCAATGCAAAAATATTTTTGTAAACAGATTTGAACAGGCTGCTGAAATAGATCAAATACCCACCTTTCAAAATCTGGTGGATTTAGGTTGCTTAATTGTCATTGTGTACCTAAAGTTTAAAGAATTTATTGTGAAGAATGAATAAGAATGAAGATTACTTAAAAGCACTTGTAACTATATAGCCTATTCATAACAGATTTTAGCCTATCATTATTGAATTGCATATTTTGATGAAGTGGAAAATTCATGTGCTTACTTTTGTGTTCAGTTTTAAATATATGTTTACTTTTTGTGTTTGAAGGATGTTTTTCTGTTTACATATGGTTGATTTTTTTTCTGAAACATCAATATTTTAGCATTTAATATATTTCTTCCTTAGAATCTGCCAATCTTTGCTGTTGAACTGAATTTTTTTTTTGTGTATTTGTTTGGTTTTTTTCCTGTTATAGTAGTATGGAAAGGTTATCTAATCAGCTGTCAGAATAAAGATAAGTAGTTCTGTGATCAGCCAAACTTGTTTGGGTAGTAATGTCGTATAGTTTGGTTAAAATTGTCCTATAGTTTCCATACTTTCTGTCATATGCCTTCACCTTTGGTATGCCAGAACTGCTGTAGCAGTGAATATATGGCTCAAAGATCTTATAAGTATCCTGAAATTATTAGTTAAATGCATGTCCCAACTCCAGAGGCTTTCTGTGCTCTGGGCAGGCCATCATTAACTGGAGCTGAGGTCACAGGCTGTGACAAAATTTAGGGCTTCAGGGAAGAATTTTATTTTTGCCTAATATGTTTCCCAGCTAAACTCTTGCTCACTTTCCCTGTATTGGGCAAAATAATAATCTGCAGAGTGAAGCCTTTCAGTTCTCTATCCCACCAGCAAGAAAAGTGTACTTGTCTGCTGTCATAGGCTGTACTTGAGTATGGTGGTACACAACTTGACACAGTAAAGAGAATGAGGGGTGACTGTCCACATGCAGAGGGTGGAGGAAGCAAGATGATTAATTTTGTGTGGATTTTACTATTATCTAGATTAAGTGCAGAATGAAGTTACAGACTCATTTGTCAGTATTGTTAGTAAGAACGTGGATGTGTGTACAGCACTTTGGGTGAATGCATTCCTTAAAAATGTTTTTTCTTAGTTACTGAAGTAGAAAGTCTTGGTCTTATCTTTGATGTTGAGAAACTGGGGGCTCTGTTTCTTCTTAACAATCTCTTGAAAATGATCTATGTAAGTAGTTTTAACAGAGAAATGCAGGATTTTAACTACAGAACTTTATTGTTAAACAGAAAGGACTATGAGTCAGTACTGATTAGGGAATCTGAATTTTGTAACTATAATTTTCTGTTCTTTCAGCTTTTATCCTCCAGTTGATGAGCCTTCCATTGGCAGTGAAAACCTGGATTTATCTGAGAATCACGAAAGGAAAAAAATATTCAGTGGAAAAACTTTTGTATTTCTAACTGCCAAGCAGGTAATCAGGCTTTACATTGCAGAAATATTGCAGGAGTATCTAAGTACAGATTTGTTCACTCTGAAATCACACTCATTCTGGGTTCATCAGGAAAGCAGGATTTCTGTGTATTTATCCTACAGTATAGTGGCCTAAACAAGATAAAATGTAGAGGAGGAACAGAACATATTACAACTGCAGCAGTGCATCAGTGAGAAGCACTACGCTGATAGTTCTGTATTCTCATACCTCTGAATTGGCTGCATTCTAAGATTTTTTTTTTTTCATTCTCTTTATAGCACAAGAAACTGGGTCCAGCAGTTGTTCTTGGAGGAGGGGAAGTAAAGTTGATGACAGAAGGAAGAAAAGAAATGGCTTTACTACTTTCTCCTGAAGTTTGTGTAGTGGATGTGGGTTTGGCAAATTCTCAGATCTCAGGATCTGACTCTATGACAAACTGGACTGATTCCATTCTGACTGTCTTGGAAAGGTGCAGCATCGTTCTCTTGTACAGCAGTAGGGTAATTTCAGAACCTCTACAGAGTCTTGGTCATGTTGTTCGCACACATATTTAAGCAGGAGACTGCTTATAAAGAGGGCATTTTTACATTGTTATAAGTATTTAGCAGACTAACTAAAGCTTCTTGAAGCAGTAAAGAAAGAACTTGGCAGTTCTGTGAGGATTTGATGGAATTCCCATTTTCTTGTCTTTTTATTATTTTTTTGTCAAACTCAATTCTACAAAAATTCATTGTAATGAAGCTGCTTTAAAATTACAGCCAGCAAGTAGTTTGTCTTCTACTATTTAAAAGGCATTAAAATTAATATATTCTAAGAATTCAAAACAGATAATTCATGATATTTCATTGATTATATGTATTTCATCAAAAGGAGATGACACCTTCAGGTCATGTTGTTCACTGTTGTATAATTATTTGTATACAGTGTTTTTGAAGAACAGCTTCTGTTTAATGAAAATTGCTTTTTTTTTGTTGATGGCTTTGTTTGAGAGGGCAGACTGCATATATTATAAATGTTAGGATTGTCATTATGCAATTTTATTAAAATAATGAAGCAAAATCTCAATCCTCACACATAAACCTAGTTCCCCTAAACCTAGTTTGCTGATAGGTAGAGAAGACAGTGCTCAATTGCTCCTCATGACTGTAGTACAGAAGACTGGGGAGGGGAAAGGGTGCCTGACTTTTAAGAAGTGGTCAGTTCTTTCAAGACTCTTTTCACACATTTTTGAATCAGAGGTAGAGCATAATTGGTTAAGTGCCCAAAAATCAGTAAAGGAGAGATATATGGGCCAGATTACTGAAGTTACACAGTGGATACAGCAGCAGGAAATATAGGAGTTCATACATATAGGACATGGCTAGTGAAGGGTAATTGTGCTGACTTACTATATTGAGAAAAATGGTAGTGGTTTTTGGAGGCTGATTTTTTTTTTTTTTTGGAGGAGGAATGGAACATTTTGTACTTTGCCATACCTGTGGTCATTTGCCTATTCATCTTTGAATCTGTGCTGAAAAACTGAAAACCTTTTATTTTTTTTTTTTTTAATTTGTATATTAACAGCAAGAATCTTAGGGCTATTCCAGAGGCAGAAATTGGATTGGCAGTTATCTTCATGTCTACAGAAAAATACTGCAACCCTCAAAAGCAGCATGCTTCCAAAGGTAATTGGAAAAGGGTAGTAATAAATTAACCTCAAAGAGGCAGTATTTCTTTCTGTGTAGGAGCATCAATTATGATGTTCAATTTGTTCTGTTTTTCAGGACCACTAAAAAAGAGTGACATTCTGTGAAAAATATATACAGCTCCAAAGGGGTAATTGGTTTTTAATGGTCTTGCAGTAAATTGCAATGAAATTTATATGACTCTTAGGTGTAAATACAAAACCAGACCTAAAACTAGCCTAAAAGGCAGACACATAGAATAGTGACCTTGAAAGGAAAGGTACTTTAAAAACATCAGAAGTTGATATTTTTAGTGACCACTGAATTCATATATGGTAGTTTGAATTCCATGCTATTCTGTCTTTTCCTAAAAGACCGGGGTAATCAGAATGTAAAATATGACTGTCAGAAATCAAGAGAATAAGAGTAGAAATAATTTGTTAAGTCTGGCATTTTTTTTCTTTTTTTGTTCTTTGCTCTAAACAGATTTTGCTTTAGGAAAATACAGAATACCTCCTGCACAGTTCAAAACTAAAAATAATCTTTCCATAAGTTAAGACAATGAGACACGATCACATTTGCTGAAGTAGTAGCTTGGGAGTGGAAATTCCAAGTCTTGACTTGAAGCTTGTACTTGCTAATGTGGTAATAATAAAAGTCTTTGAGAGACAGAAAGAGGTTTTGTTTCTTTCTTTTCATGCCTCTTCATATTATTCTATATTTTGTTGCTATGAAATTTTCATAATTATGTTTTATAGATTCTGGTTTGTTCTACAAAATGTTGTTTCAGGTAGAAAATCCTACCATTATTTAAAAAAAAAATCAAAGAACAAACCCCCTAAGTTTGTCTTTACATGCAGGAACATTACTTAATTGAAAATGTATTTTAAATAAAGACATATGCAATACTGGCAGAGATGCTGATTCTTGTTTCCAGTCTGAACGGTTCAACTGTCTAAAAGTTAAGTTGTCTAAAATTGTGTAAACAGACAGTTACACAGTTATCAGTTTAAAGGAAGCAGTGTTTAAAATTGAAAAACCTGTATTCCAGATACAATAATCAAATTAGAGATCATTATAAAGGAATAAATATAAGGAATTTTGCTCTCTGACAGTTTTGATCTAGATATTGCATGATATATATTTTATTTTTTTGCATAAAATATATACCACATGATTTTTTAAGTACATTATGTACACACAGGTATATGATTTCTTACTATGCTTCATTTTTATTTAAGTAGAATTTCATTATTTAATCAGTAGAATATTTAACTAAATATTGTAGAATATGGTCCTTTATTCCAGAATATGATCCTTTAGAACTATTTCTGTCAGTTTTTTTATAATTAATAAATCTGCTTATTTTTTTAATGAAAACTGCTTTAAGAGCATTTTACAAAGATGTCACACAATCAGGTAGTAATGTGCAATAGCACATGCAAAGAAATGCAGATTAGATGTTAACCTTCTCATTCTTCTCTCGCGTTGGTCTTGCAGCTGTACCTGAAAGTTCTGCATCAGCTGTCGTAGGCCGAGCCATTTCCCAGAGTCTGGCTGTGGATGAAACCGTAATGCCAACTGCTGCAGATAGCAGCACCTTATACATAGCTGATACAGAAGAGCAGACATGGTAAAGTATTCATGGCAATTTCTAAGCTAATACTTGCAAATTAAGCAGTCTTTTGTGGCAGAGGAACTGTATCATTGCCATGGGGAAAGATACACAGGGTTCGAAATGCCATTCACTAAATTGCTGTCACTTGTCTGCAGTGAGATAATTTTTACTTTTGAGTACTAGATTACAGAAAGCATCCCATAGGATTCAGATGACTTTCAAATGCACATGGTAGATACTGCATATCTATGTGACTGTCTTGACTGCCTGAACTGTTAAAAATGTTTGAGCCATTTCGCTATTATAAAAATGTATTGATCATAGCAGATTCTACTTTTTTTTTAGTACATTGTTTATAAGTTCATTCAAAATGAACTTTTTTAAAAATTGTATATCTGATTTGGTATATCTCTGGTAACCTCCTTTGTGCCATTTAGTATTTCTTTCCTCTCTAATCTAGTATGGAGATAGAGAATACTTCCCAGGTGCATAGACAAAGGAAAATGGCTTTCCACGATACAACTGCCATAAAGAAAAACAGTGGCACAAGTGGCAGTGTAAATGCAGGAACATCAATACCTAGAGGGAACATAACATCTGGGTTCAGTCAAAGAAGTCAGCCTGTCTCACCATCTAAACTTTTAGAAGCTGGCAAACCTCATGGGAGTGCTTCACGTCACCAGTCCAACTCAATTACAAATTACTTCCAGGTTTCTAGAAAAAGGTATGTTGAAATGTTCTTGACATTACTTCCCTTACTGATATGTTTGTGATATTTCTGGAGAATTTTAACTCAAGCAATGTACTTTGTACATTTGACACATGTATTTGACACATACTTAGAAAGGTAATTTTTAGATCAAACTCCTAGAATGGAAAGTTTTTCCTCAAGGATACTTTAAATTTCACAATGCAGTCCCTAAAACCCCAGAAGCTGTTAAGTTGTGGGTACAACTAATCATACTCAAAAAGGGTTTTGTTTCTTTCTTTTGTGATTTATTTCTGGCTAAGGGAAAGAGCTGAAGAAGAAGAAACATCTGTACCCAAACTAGCAAAACTGGAGGAAAGGTCCTCGCCTCTTCCCAAGTGCACTGAATCTACAACTTCATTAATCCGCAACACTGAAGCAAAACGGCATCAAAAGAAAAATAACATTCTTGACCCAAACCCAGGTTTTGCAGAAGACATGAGTATAAAGCCTATGAGGGAAAGTGTCAAACTAACAAGTGATAGAACAGACACTGAAACCACTTCTAGTGAAAATCATGCACCAAAAAGGAAAAAGGAATTAGATGATTTATCTAAAGATACAGAAGCACTAGAAATTGTGTTTGGAAGTGGAGACATGGACTGGGAAGGTCAAATGACAGATCATGACCAGGAAGCTCAAAGCAATAAACGAAAAAAACAATGTTTGGAAGCCAAAGGAAGCAGGATTCCAGAAGTAAATGTAAATCAGCGTGAGGAGAATAAAGTCTTGGTAAGTTTTATATTCTGCTCAGGTGCCTAATCTTGAAATTTGAAACTTTGTTAGAAGGATGTAATTAACTCCTTTAAAGAGGAGGTTGCCTGCCTATAGAAAGTGGCTTTGTAAAATTTGTTTGCTTAAATCTCACACATCAGTTTTACATGTGAACATTGCAGTTTAACACCTACCTAAATGTTTTTTCATTCTTCTGGGCATTTTTAAATTTGTTTATTGAAAACTGCTTGTATTCTGAACTTTTCCTCCTTTTTTTACTTTATATACTGTAAATAGAATAGGAGAATATATCCCTGGTCCAAGAAAAATTTCTCATACTGCTTGTTGCTGTTATTATTAATTATAATATTGTTATTTATACTAAGATAGTACTCAATTACCTTTTTGTAATTAATTTTCAAAATAAACTTCTAGTTGACCTCTTCTGTTGACTACTACAGTAGTGTCTAACATCTTTTGAGTCTTTTGATATTGTATGAAAAGATTATTAGAATTCCTGTATGAGAAATTTTAAACCAAAACCAACAAAACAACAGCAAAACCAAAACACAGCCTCTGTTTTGTGATTTTGACACTAAGGAAATTTTCTAAGAGGTATGAAGAAAACAATACACCATGAGTTAACAGTGGTCACTTTGTTGAAAAGAAAGGAAAAGCAGGTTTGTGAAGGAAAACAGTATTGAGAAGTCTAGAATATTGACAGTACAATACGAATAAGAGCAAAACTTATTTTTTTTTATTTGAAACATATATTTTAATGCTTACCTATCCAGTCTGTTTACAGTGTAGGCAATGTTTAAGTGTTTAAAAGTTTGAATGCATGATTACTGAAATTTATAAGATTCCCTAGACCACATAAGAATTAGTAATTTTCTATGCATCCTGAGTTCAGACCAGCTTGACACCTTGTTGATGCTTTACTGGAGCTTGCTTCTGGCAAAGTGTGAACTTTAACTTCATTATAATACTCTTTTTTTGTGTGTGTTACTAACACGCAAACTTTAAAGGACAAGTCCTATAATTTAGAGGATTTTGTTTCTTGCTTTTTATACTATCAGACAGTAGGTACTTTTTATTAGGTCTGAGCATACTGATGGACTAAAATTGGTGCTTAGAATAGTCTATTGAATTTTGTTGCTTGGTGCTTGGAAAGTTTTTCTAGTTTAACTTCTTGTCAGGATTCTGAAGGAGAAAAAAATCTTTATGTGATTAAACTGGTACTTTAGTAGTTATGCACTTAAAGATTTCTGCTGAAAAGAAGTCTTTTCATAGTTTAATAATTACCTACTTTATTCATGTAAAATACATTTCCAATGGACTAAGAAGGAGATGTCATGATAAATCTTCCCAGGCAAATTTGATAACTATTTTCTCTAAGTATGGATGCACCTTGTGTAAATGGCAAGACAAAGAATGTAAATAATTGACTCAAAATGTGCATGGTGCATAAAGCTGATTTGGTATTTTATCAATCATTGAAAACAAATTATGTAATGCAAATCTAGTTTTAAACTATAGTTTAAATCAACCTGCAGGAAACTTTCTTGTCCTGATAATGAAACGTCATTTTTACACACATTTACACTTCAAGTATCAAATTTAAAATGTTACTTTTTATATTCAAAAGCTGTTACAGTTTTCCAGAACCTGCCAGAACTTTGAAGATTATACAGATGGACAAAACTTCCCAGTGTATAAGGAAGAAAGAAAAACCCAAGTGAACAAATAGTAGTGATTTTTTAATAGAGAAAATTTCCAACAATTGTTACAGTAAAATCATAAAAAATTTAAAGTACAGGGCAGATTCTTTGCTGTCTAAAAATATGAATATGTTTATTCTACAACAAAGAGCAGAAAACAATTCTATGTAATTAAATTTCCATTTCATTTCAGTTTTATATTTAAAATAATTTTTAATCAAATAGAAAGAAGAGGAGCTTGGATCAGTTCTAACTTCAGAAATGAAAAGTAATATCAAGCAAGAGTCTCCAGTCTTGGTAAGGAGTCAGCTAATTGTAAGTTTGAACAGCAAACTTTAAGAAGCATTACAAAAACACATCAAAATTTTGCTCTTAACAACATAGTATTTTTGGATCCTATTTCAGGGTAAAGGAAGTTTGGAAGATTGTACTCCTTAACTTAATCATATGTAAATTTGAATAGTGCAGTCCACTTGTAGACTGTGGGAAAAAAAAAAAAAACGTAGTTCATCTGTGTGTTTCTGTAATGGCATTTGGGCGGATACTTAAAGGTGACTGAAACTACATGTAATTGTATTAACTCTTTGATGTGGTTAATACTTGTACTGATGATTTTCTTAGATTACTACTTAAAGACCTGCCAGGGATGTAATCTTGTCTGCTTTAAGATCACAGCTAAAATGGAAGAGATGGAGCATTGGGAAAATAGATGTCATATACAGTGATCAACAGTAGATAACATGCTAATTTTTGTAGGTGAGATAAAGGAAGGAGAGGAGAATTGCTTGGAGTGGCAGTGAGGCAGAGGAAAAGGAGACTAGGCTGAATGAAACTGAAATAAAAAAATTCTGAAGAGATAGAGTGTAGCCAGTCAACAAGGGACAGAATAATACCATTTCACCTACATAAAAAAACCAAAGAGGCAATGCTGAGCAGGTATACCAAACTGCAGGGTCAGCTCAGATTAAAGAACTTCTAGATATATTTTACTATAAGACAACTGTGCTGCATCTGACCATAGTTTAATGTTATTTGTGAACTTGACCATAGTTCAATGTTATTTGTGAACTTGTCCTGTGCCCAAACATCCTTTGGAATCCACATAGATGTAGCCCCAGGCAACAAAGGTTGCATGCAAACTTGCTGGCATATGAACATTCTTATGGACAAGAAAAATTTGATTCATTAATCTAATTCAGTTTACAGCCCTAGAGTTGGGTGGATATCTGTAGGCTAGAATTGAGCTGAAGATATTAAACTCTGTCTGCCATGGAGTATTTAAATACATATTTAAACTCAAGTGAAGCAAATTTACTCTATTCATGGTATATAAGGATGCTGAGAAGTTCAGACATCTTAGCTTCTAGCACTGCTGCTGCTTTCCCTCACTGTTTTGTAATCCTAACTTTTGCTTAGCTCTGCTCTTGATAATTTCTCTACAGTTTGTACTGTTAGGTATGCTCTATGTCTGTTCACACACTTGAATACTTCTTCCTTTTCTTCCCACGTAAGAACCACAGCAAACTGCAGGATGACTCCAGCAATCTTCCTAGCAGGCTTCTGTTGACAGAGTTTAGATCACTAGTTGTCAGCCATCCAAGACAGAAGAGTCATCTTCCTGGAAATACCAGCTATGGAGGAAAGAAAAATTTCAAAATGTTCAAAAAGGTTAGTGTGTTTTTTAAATTGCCACAAGATGGCACTCTTTAAAAATATTAAGTGTTGCCTTCAGATTGTAGAAATATGTTACTGAAGATCTTTTATAAATTGACAATAACTAAAGAAAGAAATAATTTAAATACCATATTATACTGTAAACAGTATTTTGTTAATTGAAGAAGTATCAAGTTGACAAAGGCCTACCTTGTGCTAGATTATTTAGGTGCTTATACTCTCTATATCCCAAGCTGTTACTTGGAATAAGTTGTAAGTAATAGCTACCATGACTTCAGGTTGTACTTCCAAAAGCTAGCAATTCCACTTCTCCAAAGACCTATATATAATGTGTAGACTGATTCAGAATCTTCCATTTTAACTAATAAACCTTGGATTTCTAAATAGAACTAAATCTGTATCATACAAAAGTAAGATGATTGCTTCCTTGGGTCCTGAAGACAATTGCAAAATGATTCTTAGTGTTCAGTGTAAAAGTACCACTTCAGCTTAAGTTAAAAATAAAATAAAAAGTAAAATCATATGGTATGAGATTAGTAGAAAGGCACTTCAGTAAAATACTATGTATAGAATGTGATTGCATAATACTGTTCCTGGGAGTATGCTCTCATTTTTAGATAATGTTTTAATTTTCTGATAATAGTTTCTTTTCCCACTGTTTTGTAACATATGCTTATGCAGTCTGACAATAAAATATTAACTGATTTTTACTGATATTTCAAACTCCACTTAATGCACTACGAAATTTATTTATTATATTTAACTTACCAGATGTGGTTTTGTTTGTTTCTTTTGGTAAAAGGAGGAAGTTAATAGCTTTCTGTAAATGCTTTTATAACTTCTGTCACTTTCAAATATGATCTTTGAATGTTAATCAAAAAAGGACTGCCTGACTTTCTTCTGTGATATCTGAATAGACTTTCTGAATTTAAAATAGATATTTTATTTGCACTATGCTTGCCTTGGTTTTTAAGAATTTATTGTCCAACAGGTAGCTTACCCTGGGGCAGGACAACTTCCACACATTATTGGAGGATCAGATTTGATTGCTCACCATGCTAAAAAGAATTCAGAGTTAGAAGACTGGTTAAGGCAAGAAATAGAGGTAATAAATTAGTTTCTAAAATGATAAAATAAAAACTTGAGTAATGTAAGTGATCATACCAACCTGTGATCATTACTGGAGTTCTTCAGGATTTTATTTTTTTAAATAAAACCTCAGCTGGTTAGCCTTCCACACATGCTCATGGGAGTATGTACAGTATTAAAATTACTGAATGTCAGAGGTCAGTGGTAACACTTATCTTTTTCTGGTTATTTAAATTCATTTTGCATGCAGCACTCATATAATCAGAAATATTTATAGAAAGCAAAATCAGTAACGTAAATGAGAACAATCTTTTGATGAGTAAAATAAGTGCTGTGTAAACATGTGACTTGTAAAAATGTGACAGGAAGCTAGAAAGAATTTCTAGATGGCTAACTGTGTTCAAACAGTTCTACAGTACAGTTGATATTCTGCTTTTAAATAGAACAGAAAATGCATGAGTAAAACTCTTTTGGAATATACTGAAGAGATGTAGTAAGAATAAATTTCATATTTCTTCTTTTGTGCACATCTTAAGTATTTTTTTAGGATTTTTATATCTAATCATGGCAGTTCTCTAGCACTTTCATTTTCCGATAGTTTCCTTAAAAATACTTGCTGATGAGTCATATTGTTTCCAGAGCCTGATTGAGATGCAATTGCATCAGCACTTCTTACCTCATTTTTTAAATTCCCGAATATAGATAATGCTAATTAAAATTCCCCTTATATAATCAGATTAAAAAATTATACTTCTATAATGGTGCTTAAAACCTAAAAACCATACTTCTGATCAAAATAGACATGTTCCACAAACTATTCAATTTCATTAGTTGGCAGCAGTAGCCAAATTGGGTAGTGAAATAACTTGTCTAATGTGAATATGCACTAAAAGAAGTACTTAGAGAGAATTTACTTTTTGGGGAAAACTGTGTTAGTGCAGGAGTATTATTTTTCTAGATGTTTCATTAGAATTATCCTTAACAATCAAATATTAAATCAACTTTCACAGGAACAGAACCGACATGCAAGAGAGGAATCACTTGCTGATGATCTCTTTAGGTAAGAGTTTTATGTTTGTACTTAGAAAAATGTGGGTTTTTGCATCACTTCTTTTTTTTGGACAAATTTTGATTTTGGAAAAGATTACTTTGACTATTCTTTATAAAATTTCATTATTTTCATATATAGAATATAGTCAAAGTGATTCGGCAATTTCCATGGAAAAAACTCAATCTGTTCAGGCTTCATTTAACATTTGAAATGAGAGGAGGTGAGGTGGAGGAGATAACATGACAAGATGTTCATGACTGTCAGCATCTCTGTAGCCACTCACAAACAGGGTTGAAGCTGCTGTTCTTCTGATGTGAGATTTCCATCGTATCATCTCCTGCTCCTGTCTGCTTTATCTCTCCACTCCTCCCCTGCCCATAGAATCCATAGATTCTAATCCATAGACTCACCCGTAGAATTTTCTGTCCAGAAGACATTAGGCGTTAGAACAAACATATTACAATGCTATAAAAATAAAATCAAATAACTGTTTTGAGAGTTAATACAGGGACCTCATTTTGTTTAGCAAAAATTCCATTACTTTCTATGTTTTTTATGTGAAAAAAAAAAGTGACCAGTGTTTGACTTCTCACCTCTCATGAATTAACTAACACCAAAAGTTGTGCATTTAGGTAGAAAAATGTATATGGTGAAGAAGGATTTTTTGTCTGGATCACTGTCAAACAAACATGATACTAATATATCAGTACATGTTAGAGCCATCCAGAAAATCTTACTGCATTAATAACTTGCTCTGTTCATTAATAGTTAATAATGGAGCATTTATTTTAAAGGGTATACATTTAATTTTTAAAGTCTTAAGTTGTACAGCAAGAACAGTGGCTACTAATGCCTTTGTAGATATGTGGTGATGTAATTTTGCTCACAAGTTGTCACATTTTTCTGTCTAAGCATAAAGTCTTGATGAGTGAAAGCAGAATTAGTGGAAGTAAATCTGTCTTATCATTCAGTTCTGTCTGTAAGATTTTCATGCATGAATAGAAAACACATCAGAATTTTAAAGAAATTACAGGAGTTTGGGAGATAAAGCACAAATGGAGAAGGCCAAGGGATAGCAGTGTCAAGTAGAGTCAAATTGTAAGCATATTTCAGTAAATCAGTTAACTATTTAGTATATCCAGAAAGTAGCTCTAAATTTCTAAGTCAATCAGAAGCTGTATAAAGGGCAAAGTAGGGCAAGGATCTGCTTTATGTTGGAGTAGGAAGCAGCAGAAAGGTTTTGTCTGAATGACTTGTGCCAAAGGTACATCAATGTAAGCATACAGGACCCCTTTTCCCTCCCTCTTTTGTTTTTTGTGGTGTCCTTTCCCAGTAAAGAGCTTAGTGTTGGGATATTAAAGACTTGGAGAAGCTTGTTCATGCATCAGATTTAAAGGTTGTAATTAATTAGGAAATATGAAAATTTCAATAAAGGTTATCTTCAGTTCATACAGAGGTTCTACCTTATGCATCCTTCATTCAAATAGTAGTAACTGTAGTTAATTATAGGAGTGTAGTCGGGGGAAGGACTGAACACTGGCTATTCCCTTGTTATGAATATATAATAAAGCTGTTTGCATCACATTGTATATCTATATAAACTTTGAATATATTGTTTTACTTACTTGTGACAGATTTATTTTTTTTGTTGCAGATATGATCCTAATGTGAAAAGAAGATAAATTGTGACCTGGATTTACAGCGTTTCTCTGGCAAAACCTGATTTCTGTTCCTTAGGTTTCCTGGTTACAGTGTGTATGATGTTCCTATATATGACTATTTGAATATCTCTTATTGTAAGACATGTTTTCTAAGTCTTGCTTTTATTAAAAAAAAAAAGGAAAAGTTCCTTTCATGGCTTGGTACTTAAAGATTCCACCATTGTCAAGGCCTTCCCATTATTTATTTCACAGTAATTCTCAGTAAAATACTGTAGATATTTAGGATTTCATTTTAGGCTATTTCTAATATGGTTATCAGTACTGTTTTGGGAAAAAAAGGAAGTTAGCATCAGACTTTTTTTTTCGGAAAGGCTTTGTTAATTAGGTACTTTCAAGAGTATTGTCTTAAGAACTGAAAATCTTTTGATGCTGAGATACAACTGGTATTTGATCATTATATAAGATAATATCATTGATATTATCATTATTATCATTGTTGATAAGATATAATCATTATATGATTCATAATGAACCACTTCTCTGTGGTTCATTTTGTAGAGCATATACTATTGTTACTGGTACAGAGTATCTTGGAATTGAAAAAAATAGCATCTTTTTCTCTTCCTTAAACGTATTTTTATTTACACCTTTAAATCAGTGTGGTTCATTTGTTCATTTGTTAAAACCTACTTTGAAGTCAGACAAATTCTTAAAGAGCTGTTACACTCCAGTTTGGAATTTTAAATTATATGATCCATTTCTTTCTCTCATGCATTTACTTTTTGCAATCACTGTGTAAAAATATGGCCTTCAAAATAGTTTGATTGACAGCAAAAGATATGAAACAACTACATGTTTGTGGATTAGGAGAGCTCATCTTAATGATCTGAGAATTGCAATTAGTGAGATTACCCTGGAAGTACGGTGAGAAAAACTTTGCAGACTTCCTGCTCAGGTGTATGAAGTCTGTCTCACATACAGATAAAGATGACAGATATCACATACAGATTAAGATGGACAGTAGCTCTATTGCATCCTATTTCAAGAGGGAGGATCTCCTTTCTCATGTGAGGAAGTGATCTGGTTGATGTAATTGAATTGACACAAACAGAATCACTCCCTCTGCCAAGAGCTCTGAGCATACAACCAACATGAGCTGCAGTGTCTGAAGCTGCTCCGTTGTGTATCAGATCTGAGGAACGGCGCTGTGAGATCTGTGCATGTCAAGATAGCAGATGTGCTCAACTCATCATGGTTACAACATGCAGAAAATATTTGGCCTTCCAAAGCCAGTGTTTTCTCTTGGGTCTGTCTTGGTATCTTCTTGCTGGTCAGCAATGTCCAGAGTGATACACAAAGTGCAGCCCAATGCTTCTGAGCTCCACAAAAGCTGTGAGAGTGTTTGCATCAGAGCACATCAAATCTTATCCACCAAACACCTTTAAAAAGACTTAAACAGTTCTTAAGCAGTTGAAATTCTTTCTGAAGGAGATATACTGACTGTTCTAACCTCAGGTGAGTTTTTCTGCTGTCACTGTGAGAATTTCCAGGTTTTCTGGCTGAAGACCTACTGGTCCAACAGCTCTTGAGACTGCTGAGGTTTTGGACTGTTACTAAATTCAAGCTAATAGCTTGGATAGCAGAGTATCAATGAACAACATTCTCCAGAAAGGTTGTATTTACAGTTGTAAAATACAGCTGGAGAATTTCTGAGGTGAAAGGGCAAGACATGCAATGTCTACAACAAAGTAAAGGTTAAATCCTTTGTTGCTCACACTGCAGTCTGCTAGGGGCTCAAACATCCCTGGTGGCATAGTTGAGAGCACTCTTTTGTTCATGTTTAATGATTTAGGACTCTTCAAATCCAGTTCCCCAGACAGCTGAATTAACCAGCCTTGATACTTTTTTTTTTCATTTAGTATTTAAGAGGTGTGGGTCCCTTTCAGCTCAGAATATTCTAGAATTCCAACTTGAGGGTAACCTAGTAGGTGATACAGGTGATATAGTTTGGTTTGTAATCCAGTTTCAAGTGCTGTCTAGTTGATGAAAAGCCTGCACATTAGTGCACCTGTTCTTCTGCTATTTCAATATGTAGTTAGGCTTGCATTAAAAAGCTTAGATGTACAAACCCCTTAACCATGGTTTTAATTGTAACACCAAATTCATGTAACAAGTCCTATTTATTATTCTGAAGTCTTCCTTCCATTTTAACTTACTTATTGTTACGATTTTCACCTCTATACATTAGAGGAAACACGCTTGCTGGCTTACTGGTTTGGCCTTCTGTTACTGAAGTGTCTGAGATAGATGGTAAAGGACACAATTACACAATCCAATAAATTTAAATTTCCAGTAAATTACATCAATATCTGCCTTAGCCCAGGAATTAGTGCAATAACTTCAACTGGTATTTCCTTTATGGTATAGAACATACTGTTGTTGGCTAACCCCATTAGGCAGCTAAGCCCCATGCAGCCACTCTCACACTCCCCAGCAGGATGGGAGAATCATGGAATCAGAAAAGAGAAGGATGGGTTGAGGCATTTTTACAAGTAAGGGAAAGTTTGTGAGCACAGGCCATCAACTTAGAGATTCTGCAGTTTAGAAATTTTGCTGTGTGCTCTATTTTCACTGTGCAGCTTGTGCTCCCTAGTTTCAACCATTCAATTTCTGGGAGAGCTTGTTTCATGCTATATTTCTTTAGAAGGTTAAAAAAAGTTCAGTAAATCAGAGAAGATACCTAAGGTTTCTTTCATCTGCCACACTCATGGTCTGCCATACCCGCCTTTTTAATAAAGTTATGCTCTTCACCTTAAAAATGCTTCTAAGAAGAAACTTCAGATCTTGTTTCTTACATTATTTTGTGTGTAGCGGAGTTTGAGGGTTTGTTTGGGATGCTTTTTTTCTAACATTAATTACCTTTGTTCACACTGCTTACAGGAAGGAGATGCACACAATATATAAAGTAAATATACTTTTTATTAGCAAGGCTCTTAACATACAGTCTTGCATTCAGCAGCTTAGCTGATGAAAACAGTTTAAAGTTTAAAGCAGATTGAATTACTCTAGGTACTACTAAAACCATGGATAGGTGCTGTATCCCTGCATGAAAACATGTTTAATTTTCAGTTTAACTCACACCAATTTCAGCTGCCTTCCCACTTTCTACAGCAGCTGGGGAAGCCACAGGGTTTGTTTTGTTTTGGTTTTTGGTTTTTTTTTTTTTGTTTGTTTGTTTGGTTTTTTTTTTTTGGAGAAGACTACCAAGATATTTGCACTGTCAAAGTGCGATTTCTACTTCTGTCCCTTCACATCTGAGTCTGTCCTTTTTTCTCCTACCCTTAACTCCCCAATCTTCTCCCAGAATGGTGGAGGTTGTGTGTCAGAGCTGGCCTCTCCTTTGTCATTGCACCAGTTCCTGTATGTGGAAACTGTGTTTGCAGTCAGCTTGAATTCCTTCATCCAGCCACCTCCCCATCCACTTCCTCTCAAATGCCAACTCCCTTCTTTGCCTTCATTCCTGATGTGTGATAGTCTTTATTCCACTTGAATTCCTAACTGAGACAGTAGCTGAAGCTTCTACTGTAGACCTACCTCTAACCCACTCACCCATCTTTCTCCATTCTGCATTATACAAATGATTTCTCAGTCCTGTCTCTCCCTCTCCCATAAAACTGGAGGGAGTCTTGCACCTTCTTTTGCTCTTTTCCATTTCTTGAATCAATGTTCAGTCACATTTGGCTGCATCTGGTTTGAGTCACAAATTCCCAAACTGATTTTTGTTTGATTTACAAATTCCAATTCTGTTCAGGTATCTCCTTAGAATTCAAGCCAAATGTGCCAAAAAAATGAACCCTCTTCCTTACCATCCCTCTTGCAGTCTCTGATCGCCATCACCACATTCCATTGAGATAGTTACAAAAATGCTACACAATATCCCTAACTAGCAACTCTCCCTATCACTTGCTTTAGCATCCGCCTATACTGCTCTGCAGCAGCTTTTACTATTGGAATCTTTCAGTCATTGTTTTCAGTACTAAATCCATGCAAAACACCTCTCCCTCATTCTGAACACTGCAGCTCTTTGAATGCCTTTTCCTCTGTAGTTTGATCTTTCATTTGATTTGAGTTCCCTATTTCTCAGAATAAAAATAACTGACTTCTAGGTGACACTACTTAAATTTTTTTGTCTTCAGTCTACAATCAGTTTTCACATATTAAGATAAAACAAGCCCCAGCATGTAAACCACAGGAATATTTATCATCTAATCAAAAGGGAGGTTTTGCTCACAAATTACTTACAGAAAATGTTCTGTATATGTTTACATTGCTCATCTTAAAAAAAAAAAAAAAAGGTATGATGCAAGCATACTCCAGCAAAAGATGAAAACTGGCACTGCTACACACAAAGAAATTATATTTACACATATCTCTAAGTTCAGGTGCATTGTGTGTGAGCAAACAGGTAGATGAATATAGTCCTTTGTGTAATTTCAAACTGGAATTCCAGCATACAACCAGCATAGCAGGTCTAACAGAAATGGGCAAGGTCAGAGTATTGACTCAGTAAATTGTGCCAGGGAGATGTAAGGTAGCAGGATCAGCTCTTGAACAATGGCTCCATGTTCACATAGCAGTTGGTCCTAGCATCCAAACCAATGAAAAATATTCATATATCTAGTTAAAAGGACAACCTAAAAAATGCCAGGATTCTATAGTATTTTGTCCCTATATAGACCCTCTATAGCAAATCTAGTCATTAATTTTTTTATGTAAGTCTCCAGAGGGTGTCAAGGACAGTTTATTGAAGCATCTGCTGTAGGCTGCTACTTACACATTGACAGTGATCTCAGAATAAAGAGATGGAGGAGGAAAGTGCAAATTAGAGTTACTTAGTCTTCAAAACAAGTTATTTCCTGGTTTTGATGACTACTGATTACACCTAGGTTTTAAGAGTTTTAAACCAATTGGTTTATGATGCCCTGAAAGTACAAAATTATCAGTTAGAAAATTACCTAACATGCAGACAAGTATAATATGAACTCAAGTTCAAGGTATGCTTGCGCTGAAATGTTCTAGTGTCTATAGATGAAACCATCTTTAAAACAGCACTTAGGTTCACTATAGCTATTGTATAACACTAGAAATGCTTTCCCCCCGCCTATAATGCTTGTTCCTTACACCAAACTCATCCTTGATGACACAATTCTCCGTGTAATTTAGGCTTCAAAAATAAATCAAACTGAAACTCCCAGTGTACCATATTCCCAAAAACACACTCTGTTTCAGAAAAAGAGCTGTTTATAATTCCTTACTTCAGATTTGTATTCATAATATCACCAAAGCCTTTCTTGTTCTGTCAAAGATGCTTCAATTTCCATTCTTTCTGCTAAGTAAAATCAACTGTTACAGTATTTCAAACAAAACTTTTCTTTCAGGTTGGGCAAGGGGAAATGGGGAAAATATTTATACAAAAAGCTCTCACATCTATTGAATGCTCCTGTCTTGCTCTCTCTCTAAAATAAGAACCCACCCAAAAATTATGACAGAACATTGTTATTGTAAGGTTCTAATGCATTATCTAAATTAAGATATAACAATATAAACCTTTTTGGCATTTTTGGTTCCCTAACTTACTCAAAATCAGATCATTAGTGTATGGATTATAATAAAATCAGCTGCCTTTAAAACATATGTGCACTACCTCTTCCTATTTATTTTCCTATTTATTTAGAAATGTCTGGGAGCACTGTCAAGATCCTGCTATTACAAGAAGATACCTACTTGCTTTTCAGAAGTAGAAAATATGGTAGCAGAGTAACAAAGCCTTATCTCTTGGCACACTATGTTGCTGATCTGGTCCTACAGCTTTGTCAGCAAAGACAATTTCTCATACAGGTTGCATTCTGTGTACTTGAGTTAATGGCCAGTTACAAATCCCCAGCCGGGTGTTGGATGAGCAGCTCCCATGCAGAGCTCTTGTCACAGACCCAGATCTCCCCCCAGGAGGATGGGACACCCCCAGCCTATTGACACTTCAGCACCTGTATGTCTGCACTTCATCCTACACATGTTCTTCACTGCTTCCCTCCCATCATCCCTCACTGGTCATCACTTGTCAGCAGCAAAGACTCACTGCTAATTTTATTGCCTTTCATTCTCTTTTAAGAGCATTTGGCCTAAAAATGGCCCTTCCTTTCACCTTGAGTATGCATGTCAGGCCTGTCTCAAAGCTGAGATTTTAGTTTTATTTCCTCCAGCTTTGAGTAAATACTCTGTACTTCTGGCTCTAACCTTCTTTTCAGTTCTTGAGCTGTGAGAGAAAGAAGCTATAGCTGCCTCCTTGTATAAAATTAGTATTTTTCATTATGCAAACATCACTGTATGCAATCATTAAAAAGAAGTTGCCTACATCCACCAGGCCAGAAGTAAAATACAAGAATTTCCTAAGTGCTGAGGACAAAGGACCTGGAGCTGTGAGATACACTTTGATGTCTCTTTCTCAGTGCATAACCACTGTTCCTGCGAGCCATACTCTTTTCATGCAGTCACTGGCAAGCTCAGGCTTCTAGTCCAAGACAAAGCACTTTCCTGAGAGAGAGAAAAATCCAGTGTTGTTGTCACCACTCTCTCTGGATTACTTGTAGAAAGGATTCCTGTATTTACTCACTTGGGTGAAACTTAGGCTTATTCCTTTGTGGAAAAAGTTTTAAGCACAATTCAGTCAGAAGAGATACTGGAAAGAGGCAGATTGTTAGGAAAATCTAGTAGGAGAAACCTTACTCCCAGTTCAGCATCTGGATGCTACTTGAAATGCTCTTAGCAAGAATATAACTGGGAGACACATTCACAGCATTAAGAACCAAATCCAAGTGTAAACAGTGTTTTTCCACTAGCCTATCAGAAAATACAAAGTATGGGTTAATACAGCTTTACAAATTCTGTAAATCCAAATTAACTTACTTCAGCTAAAAATTATGTTTTTCCTGTTTGAATTTTCATGATAAATCTTAAACACTAAGTACTCTTTTAAAATCCACAATGTTTAAAAGTTTATTCTTCACAATGAAAGAAGAGCTGAAAGAAAGTCTCTCTTCTGTAAATGATTATATTACACAGGAAATTCAAATGCTTGAGGTTTTTTTTAATTTGAGAAGGTGTTTCCCCAAAAGACAAGTATTTAGTGCCAACATCTACTTAACAATAAATGCAGTAGGTAAAACTATCTTAAGGCAAAGCCTGAACTTTATTATCACCTAGTTCCTCAAAATACTAAACAGGAGAGAAACAGAAATTTCTCTCAAAATCAAAGATGTGAAAATGAAAAAGTCTAGGTCCAACTTGAAATCTAGCAATTCCTAGAAGACACAAGATGATCTTTTAGCAAAGCTTTGGTTGAAAAAAGTATCTTTATACTGGCTTGATGAACATGACCACTGAGATTTCTCTGCCCAACTAGGGGGTCTCATATGCAACTTTTTATCTCAAAAATACTGGCAAGATTGATGAAAAAAAAAAAAAAGCAGTTAAACCTCAAGGTGCTGTAAGATTATACCAAAAGATATTTGAGTAAGAATAGGTCAAAAATCTCTGCTACAAAATTGTCACTACTACACACAGAGCTTGTGAGTAGCTGCAGCAGCTGAGGCTAGAAAAGGGGCTGAAGGGGTTTTTCCCCTTTTTGCAAAATAACTTCCAATTTTTTTTGTTTTTGTTTTTGTTTTTGTTTTGTTTTTTGTTTGTTTTTTTTCTCCTGGCATTTTAAATGTCTCCTGTGACAAATTAAAAAGCAGTAACATGCCATATGTTGTATCAGTTATATTGATACAAAGCTGCAGGAATTTAATCCCAGTGCAGATGTATTCTCAATAACTAAACTGAAATACAATTCTATAATAAAGTATTTAGCATTTATAACAGTTACAATTATTAGGTATCAGAGGTTTAAATTGGTTGCTATATACAGAGTTTCTTCCAGAGAAGATAAATTGTAGAATCTCAATTAAAATATGAAGAAAACAAGCTTAGATTTTATTGGAATTAAAATCAGCTCAATATCAGTATAAAAAAGTACCTTAACTAGTACTGACAATGTATGGCTAAAGCAGAAATTGATTGAAATGCTCCTTTGTTTGTGTTTATGCTCTTAAGCGTCTCTAGACTAAAATTTATTCTTAGCAGTGGTATAATTTCATAAATTATTTTGGACTTCCACTGAAAATAGTAATTTTAATTCTTGCATTCTTTAGCTTTTCAACTTCTATGTCCAAATTCTGAGCAATTTACTCAGATGCATAAGGACTTGAAGTAGCCACAGAACCCTGTAATTCAGTAGGCAGAGAAAACAGGCATTTATTGAATACAGCTATCTACCATTTATGAAAGTTAAGACAGCTGGGAAACCAGCAACCACTATCAGTTGCACAAAGCCTGACTTCCTTTTTAAAATCTGCTGAAGTTCAATATGGAGATTTTTAATCACACAAACAGAATATTTGAAACTAACACAGCATTCTTTAACACAAAAAACCCCAAACTGAAAAATTACACTTTTTCCATCATATTGGACCCGAATTAAAACATTTGGTAAAGAAACAGTTAAAGCCAATCACTTGTCTATTGGGAGTTCTGGGAATTCACTTTCCTAACTTAACCTCATGCTGGTAAATATCCTACTAGTGTGTTTAGTTGAACTAACTAATGCAAAACACAGCAAATGATATCTAGGTCTACATTATGGAGCAGAAAGATGAAACTTGGATTCAGAGGTAGGTACAAGTTAAGTCTTTGTCTTTCATTAAAAGTTTTAAGATTTAAAGGAACTATTGCATATTAGTTTTGAGATTGGTTTGTTTTTTAGGTGTCTGTAAGATATAAGCCGTTCTTAAGTTTCAAAAACTGCAGGCTAAAATATTTTACTATCATGTGCTGCTCTAGAAGAAAAAAGGGAACCAATTTTTGGTCAAATGGGAGATGAGAATATCTATCACCCACCCCACCTTCATCAGCCAAGTGATCCCATTCAGTCTTCCTGAGCTTGGAAGCAAAAACCCCTTAATTTTCTCATGTACCTAATTTTTCAGTAGTACACTAGATATTCATGATATTGACACTGTAATAAGAGCACTTACATCAGTACTTTATTGTTTATGTTAATGCATTTTTTCAGAAATTTACATATCACTGTAGGGGAAAACCTCATGTTAGTCTTTGTGCACTCACCCAAGTCTAGGCATAGTGTGAAGAAACATTAATGGATTGTGTCAAATCAGTAAAGACTAAATGGGAAAGCTTATTCTTCTATTCCAATTACCAGGATAATTTAAAACTTGAGGGATACTTCTTGCTTACAGAAGTCCTTCTTATAGAAGAAACCACTTTACTAAGTGCTCATTCCAAGTATTACTGTGACAAATAATTAAAATCTTTGTTTCAAGCAGAAGGCTCCAAATTTGCTTTGGGACAAAGAATCGCTTTGTACTAAACAAGATTTCTGCTTTTAGAAGTTATTTCAATTTCATGGTAAGAGTATTCTTGTCGCATTTGACATGAAAATGTAAAACCACTCTGGTAGGTATTGCCTTTCACAGATGAAGTCTGCTCTTGTAATTGAGCAAGAGATGACAGACAGGCAGGCCAAGAGAAGTTAGTCTCATTTTCTGTTTATCTGGAAGCAATTCCAGTTGAGATCAGTTGAAATAGCAGATCATTTTTTTATGTTTTAAAGAGTGAAGTATCGTAATATCAGCATCCTTTACCAAGCAATACAAGCGCAAGTTACTTGTACACAACAGAAATATGACTGCTATCAACTTTTGCTGCCAGTGAGTTTTCTGTTAAGACTACATTTGTAATCCTGGAGTGAGAGTTTCTAATGTCTCGTTTATGGTACCCCATCACCTCCTCCATCCCCACTTTCAATCAATTCATGTTTCTTCTTTTGTCTTATTGCCAAGCACCGTGCAATGCCCAGTGCACCTCCTTTTAAAAACCGTACAAAGTTGTCTCCCACCAGAGGCCCTAAAGCAAAGAGGTTGGCTTCTTTAGTGCATTCATAAGTATATGGATCAATCTCTATAGGATTCCCCTTGCATGTGATGGGCTGATTAGAGTGATGACCTATGCTATGTCCTTGGTCCTTTAAAAAGAAAAGATTTGGGTGAGAACCTATCAGAACTAAAGCTACAGAAAACTTCAAGATTTTCTTCAGTCCAGAGGCACTCTGAAGAACACATTTCATCTCAGGCTTGAAGGAAAGTACATTGTGTTCAGGGAAACTAGTGTAAGCAGAATGTTGATTAGAGTCCATGGTATGAGACTGAGTACACATCATATGATAGACCTTATGGTATTCAGGGTAAAGCTTTTTAGGTAACTGTTTGAAAATTAGGCTTGTGTCAGTAACTCTTCTACGAAACACATGGACTACTGGGATGTTGTTGTTATAGGCACATAGTACTGCATCAGCTGCTGTTAGTCCAGCACCCACAATCAACACAGGGTCTGCCTTCCCACGTAACTTTCCTTTGCTGATTGCAGCTCCGAAGTCAGACATGGAATGGAGGACAAAAGGAAAGTCTTCTCCCTCAACTTGCAGTCGGCCAGGAGAATCAAAGGTTCCAGTTGCAAGAGCCACATTCTCAGCAAAGAGGCAGAAGGGCACATGAGAGCCATCTGTTGCTCGCTGATAACCTCTGACTTCCCAGTTTCTCTTAATAAGTGATTTCTGTCCATCTTCAATTTCCGAATGCTGTGTTTTAATATCTTCATTTTGGTGACTTCTATCTTCATCATCCTTTTCTCGGTAAAGCCTGGATACTGATGTTATGTAAACATTGTCTCTGAAATTCTTTTGGAGGCCCATGACTTTAACATAGTGTTTATAATAACAAGCTATTTCCTCTGGCATTACTCGATCACTCTTTATATTTCTGAAAGAAAATGGAATGGTTCCAATTAATAAATAGACCTTATTGGTAATTTAAAAATCAGATCTGACATACCACATGACAGGTCAAATTTATGAGGACTTAATCTGCTCAGTGTAAATGACACTGAGTTCAGCATCTTTAATGGCCTTTGATTTATTTATTCTCTTGTTTCCTGATACACAAGACCAGCTAACTTCTTAAATATAGTTTTAAATCTTTATACAATGTAAATTGCTATGGTGATTAACAAATTAGGTGTAAGAGAGCTCTGGAGTATCACAGCAGCTCCATATGGAAGTGTTTTACAAAGTTTAACATCCCAGCTATCAACAATACAGTACTGGCTAAACTTGTACCCAGTGAGAATACACTTACTTACAATCTAATTAATTAAATGTCATAGTTAAGTGCTAACTTTGAAACTCTACGTTCAATATGTTACTGGAACCAAGTATTCATTATACTTTACAAAAGACCTCTCCCTTGGGTACGGTTAAGTTCACTAAGTATCAAATGAAGTAGTTCCATGTCACATGAATGAGCAAAGCAAACATGATACAGAGTGTTAATGCAACTATGTAAACAGAATTGTGAGGTTCAAGCATTCAATAAAAAACATTTTTGCCCTGCAACCCTGCTATTACATCTATGCTTTTCTCGTGATTATTGCAGTCTCATTTATAAGAAAAGTAGCTGACAGTGTAATTATTTGGAACAGCTGCATGAATTTTGCCGCTTCTTTAGAAGTAAGCTCCAGGAAGAAGGCAAAACAAACTGTATTGAACATCAGGATTGCCATTAAATTACACTTAAACCATATTTACAAGTAATCAGGCTACTCATTTTCTTAGACTAACAAGATATTACCACATGTTCTTTTAAATGATCAGGTTACTACTCTGAAAATCCTCATGAGATATTTATTGAAGAGACTAATGTGACAGTGTGACACCTCTTGCAAGGAAACTTAGGAAACTATTCTACATAACTAAAATTTTACATTATCACCAATCCTTTTATATAAGCTTGTTTAATTGTAGAATAACAGGTCAGCATTTCTGGTTTTACCATAGTTGAAAACTGTAATACATAGCTTCAGATAATAAGCAGGATTTCAGTTAATAAGGAGGCAAGATTGCTGTGGTTATCTAAGAAAAGGATTAAAGAACACAGCTACAGTTTCCTCACTTCAAGGGTTGCCCTGAAAGAAATAACAGTCTGCCCTTAAAGACATATGCTCAAGTAACTGTACTTCTTCTTTTCTCATACATGGTACAAAACCAATTTCCTTTAATTTTCCTAAAACAAAGTAAAAAAAAAAATTAAAATTTTAGAAAAAGCTCATGTAGAGTGTTCCTAGGTTCATTTGCTGACACAGACCTTTATGAACTGAAGTAAAACCAGTGAACTTGCACAAGAGTAACTTTTCTTCTCAAGTTTTTTCAAGAAACTTATTGCTACAAATTAACAGAGAGATACTGAATTATTCTCTTAAAATTAAAATTCATAATTTCAGATGCTGCAGCTGTGCCTGTAAAAGCAAATGCTGAAATATATAACTTCCTGAATTGCAAGAAAGCTTGTGTGCGCAGCAACTTCAGCTGCATGGGTGTTGAAAGAGGAACTTGCAACGCCTCCCTCAGTGGATTCCTCCATCTTCCCTCACCTCTGATCAGAACTCCTTTCAGCAAGTTTCAGCCTCTTCCTGAAGTGCTGCTGGAACACACTGCTGCCTGTATGTTTTCTTTCAGTGCACTCACCAGCAGTTATTCTGCCTGGCCATTGTCAAGTTTTTTTTCCATCAGAGTACACACAGCAGAAGAATTTCCAGTGCCATCAGGCAATTTAATAAACTAAACAAGAAGCCCTCCTGTGAACAGTGAAGTTTGAATATTTTCCATTTATCTGTATTTTTATAGCCACTAGGATTCCCAAGTGGATTCTGCAGTATCTTTACCTGCGTTTGCTAGCTGCCCACTCCTTAAAGCTGAGGCCAGGCAATTCCATCCAGTCTCCAAAGCTGATGGTTAGCATAGAGCCCTCCATGGACTATGGAGAAAACATGAAGATGCATGATCAGACACATTTCAAATTCAAATTTCAATTCAGATGTAAAATGTAAATTAAAAAAAAATCAAATGTAAAAACCAGTGAAGCTGTTCTCATTGTATGCATTTAGAGCAACAAAATACCAAAATACAACATAAAACCAGGACATTAAATGAAGAACTGAACTATTTCTGTGTTACACTTAGATAACAAGCAACCATATGAACTAATAAAGAAGGTGAAGAGAGAGCATGTGAAAGGGACACTAAAAGCAAGTTATTTGAAATACAAAAGAGGAAGGAAACACAAAACATGTGAAAGCAACATCATATAAAGACACCAAAATTTAAGATTGTGTATAAAAGTACCTGAAAACAATGCAAACGAGAAAAAAAAGTTATAGAAAATACTCTTCATTATAATTAATTAAATGTGAGCTAGCAAAAAACCTGGTAATATAAGACAGCACTCATGGTCATAAACCCCCAAGTAAAGGGCAGCTTCCTCCTTCCTTTCTCATATACCACACTTACTTGGGTTTTGCTAATGAACAGCTGAAACTGCAATTGGCACTACCATCTAAAACAGCCCTAGGGTAAGGCAGTAAGAAAAATCCCAAAGTACAGAATTATCAAGTTACTCTATGAGTGAGATGATGAAATTTTTACTCACATGCCAAGCCCCACCAGGTGGTCCTTTCCCAAGCACTATGTGGGGAATATAATTATGTTGTTCTAACTTCCAGTGCAGAACAGGTGGGTAGTCATAGCCAAAGTCAGCATCAGGGTGAAGCAACGTATCAAAAAGCACTGCAACTGGGTTTGAGGAGCGTCCTTCCAGGCCTTCTGACAGATACTCCAGATCCTGAAGGATGACAAATATAAAACTTTTAATGTTCGTCATGCTATTCTGATGTGTAGAAGTTGAATTGCAACAGAAAACATAATTCAAATTGCCTTTTAGGTAAAGGTATTTAATGTAGAGATTCAATCAAAACACTTTTCAGAAATAACTGCTATGATTCAGTTCTTTGTAACTCTGAATAGTACATTGCACCCATTTAAAAATTACATGCTAATTACAGTATTTCTGGGGCAAGTCAGTATCTGTAGAACAAAGAAGCATGTGGACAAATAGAGATCAGAGCAACTTATTAACACTTACATTTATAGACAGAAGACTGCTTTTAACAAAGGATAGCTAATATTTCTAAGAGTCCCATTTTGATAAAGCAAAATTAGAATATAAAAACATTAAGCTTTAAACATCAAGTAGAAAAGGCTCTTTGGACAGCTCTTAGCTGGTTCCAAGACTAACTGTATTATATCTTAAAATAATAAAGATAAAATAAGCATTATCTTTAAAAAGTAAAATTAAGATTGTTTTACACACCAGATAATGTTGAGAAAATATTCTAGAACTTTGTAAAATTCACATTTCAGCATCAATTAACCAGTCTTGTTCTAAAAATTGTAATGATTGCAAAAATCATATAATAGCAGATATTTGAAGAGAAACTAGAGATTTGAAGAAAGAACTGGACATAAGACCAATTTTTGCTGAAAAAGTCAGTACAGCTTAGCTTCCTAATCAGGCAAAATATCAGGGGACTGGGAGAGGATGAAGTACATGAAACACCTGCAGCCAAAAGTTAGGCAATTTACTCTCCTGCAAAAGAGAAAGCCCTTGAGACCTAGGGTAAACATCACATGCAAATAGCACAGCACTGAAACAAAAACACCCTCCAAAATCCAAAGCCAAACAAACTCTTATTTACCCCCTACAAATATAAATCCATGTTTGTATTTCAAATAAATTAGTCACAAAGGCAATACAGTGATAACATTGTCAGTAATCCCTCAGGAGTACAGTGAGGTGAGTGAAAAACAGTGTTAACATGGCAAACCAATGGACAACTGGAAAGAAAAATGTTGGAGAAGATTTAACTAATCAAATCAGACAGAAAAATTGGGCGTATACATGGCTAACAACTATCATTACAACAAAAGCACTGAAGAATGCATACTGTTCCAAAAAGAAAAATGGATTGTGTTTATAGAGGATATATGTCCCCTTAGTAGGAATTTTAGTATTTAAGAATATTTTAACCTGAACTATGTGTACTTTATGTATGTTAGTAGCACGTTTTCCCTGGTGATAGTGCCCAAACATCCCAGGATACGACAACTGGAATTCCTGCTTCAGCCACTGACTAAGTCCTGCTTAATCACTCCTGGCAAGTAGTAAGAACACAACAAAGAGCAGACTGTAAAACCAAAAAAACATAACAAACTAAAGGCCTTCAAGATCCACAAACAACACTACACAGCCTAGGTTTGGATCTAATGGTCATGAGTTGATTCTATTTAAATTAACAGAATAACAAAATAACTTATTAATGCACTAATGCTCACAGTAGGAAAAGAGCTAGACAAGAAGGCAACCAAAGCTTACTTGGTCAACAATGGAAAGATGTCGAGCTTCTTCTAATTTTGTATGTAAGATGGGGTTTGGATGTATAGCTTCAGGAGACAAATAAGGCCTGTATCCAGAGAGCAGGTAAGAAAGGCAAATTCCTGAAGGTCCATTTCCTATTAAAGAAAAAATTTACTGCTTTAGTAAAAATGTTTATAACCTACAGTTTGTTAATCACTAAATATACAGCAACAAAATAATACTGAAGTAGTATAATGCCAGATTGTCTTGATTTCAAAGCAGCTTGTAAACTTTGCAGTAAAATAGAGCTTTTTATAGGACCATCCTCCAAATGAACAGAGCAAAATTTTTTTCAGTTAAAGAGAAACAAATGCGTGACTTTTACACCAGGAAGCCAAATGGATATAAAGAAGTTCCCTAATTTACTATGTCAAATTCACTATTGTGTGAAACTGGCCTGACAGATAATGGTCTGCCTGTCAGTCACAGTGATAGCTGAATATAATTGCCATCTTACAACTTTGCATTCCCACAGGTACTGTACATCTCAGAGCAGAAAGACAATCTGGATTGTATGTTCTTCAGGTCTGTCCATAAAATAAAGGGAAGAGACAAGCAGAAAGCTTAAGGCTGAAAGTCAGATGAGAAGTTATAGACGCTGCAAAGCAGCAACATAAAAGCAAAGTGACCACAGACCTGTGGGTAAGTGGATGAGAACAAGAAACTCATGTAAGGCCACATTCATTACTCAGGGAGAGTGTGAAGTCAAGCACTTTTACCAGCTTTGTAGCATTTTCAATTTGTATATGTGTATTGCTGCAATTTTAATAGACAATTATTTTTAAAATGTTATTAAAAGTATGAGATATATGGGACCAAAACATTACCATAATGTAAATATTTCTATTTATTTGACTAGCATTAAAATAGGGGACCATATTTATCACATGCAGATACAGAAGTAACATTCGTATTGGAAAGTCAGACATCAAGTTACAGAAAGCTAAGTAAGAATTGTATGTGCTATGATACAAAATTTAAAGATGTGGCTATATGTTGTTATTTCTATAGCTCCTCTTACTCATTAACTGAATGAAAAACACAGAGTTTTCCTAATGAGCCACTTGTCAGTACTTTGTCTTTGTTTGGATACATGGTATTTAGCACTCACTATGCAAAGTCTGGTTTTAAGTTACTAATTCATTTATACTTTAATATAGCAGGCATTGTTGGATGTTTGTTCTTACTTCTAACCATTTCATCTCTTAATGTCAAGAATTCACAGGTCATTTACTTTTCCCCATCACCTTTGCACACACTATTTTCATCACCTGTTAACAATCCCATTTCTCCAATGCCTGTCTCCCTTTTCTGATTCCTCAGTACTAAATCCCTCATTACTTCGCTGAGGCCCTGTTCATTCCCAGTTTCTTCATACATTGGATCTCTTTTTCCTCTTTCACCAGGCTATACTCACCTGGACTCCAGTGGCAGAATAGCCCATACTTTATTATAATGCTGTGTACATAAACTGGTCACAGCCATGAGCTACAGGAAATCATCTAAAGAACCTAAAGACAAAGTTCTTCCTTACTCTCACACTGTTCTGCCCTCCCACAACATAAGATAGCTAGATATGCTTCAGTCCAGGAATTTAAAGCTTAAAGAAGATGCAAGCCCCTCCTGTCACCCATTTGCAGTAAAGAATTTTTTATGTTTATACAAGTGCACAGATAGCTTTATTTTCTCGCTGGGATATAAAGAAAGCTCATCCACAGTGGAAGGAGGAAAATATGTGCCATAGCCAAGGATGTCATGTTAATAATCACTCCTACTGGATAAGGCTACAAGAACTAAATGGTTAACAAATGTCACCCAAACGACTGGCAAGGGCCAAGGAGATTACTGAGGATGGGATGGATGGGTTATGTCTAGGGCTTAAATGGATCACTTCACAAGGCTCCATCTTCACACCACTGCCAACTTTAACCAGCTTCATTTCTCTCTGAATGGAAATTTGTTGAGGTGAAGTCCAGCAGTCCTTGTGGCCAAGAAGGCATCCTGGCCTGTATCAGGAATGGTGTGGCCAGCAGGAGCAGGGAGGTCATCCTTCCCCTGTACTCGGCACTGGTGAGGCTGCACCTTGAGTGCTGTGTCCAGTTCTGGCCCCTCAGTTTGGGAAGGACGTTGAGATGCTTGAGCACGTCCAGAGGAGAGCAGCGAAGCTGGTGAGGGGCTTGGAGCACAAGTCCTGTGAGGAGCAGCTGAGGGAGCTGGGGGTGTTCAGCCTGGAGAAGAGGAGACTCAGGGGTGACCTTATCATTCTCTACAACTTCCTGAAGGGTGGTTTTAGTCAGGTGGGGGTTTGTCTCTTTCTCCAGGCAGCAACTGACAGAACCAGAGGTCACAGTCTCAAGCTGCACCAAGGGAAATATAGGTTGGATATCAGTAAAAAGTGGTATCATGGAAAGAGTGATAAAGTACTGGAATGGTCTGCCCGGGGAAGTGGTGGAGTCACCATCCCTGGATGTGTTTAAAACAAGACTGGCACTCAGTGCCATGGTTTAGTTGAGGTGCTAGGGCATGGGTTGGACTCAATGATCTTGAAGGTCTCTTCCAACCTTGTCATTCTGTGACATTAAGGTGAATTACTGTCACTGAGTTCCTTGAACTTTTCTGGGACCATCGAGAGAGCTGATCCAAACCCAGCTCCTATTCTTTAAGCAGACTGAATCTGAGGGAAAGGAAATCCCTTGACGATATGCTGTTAAGAACACACAGGGTGAAGGTTCAGCTGCAAGGTCTGCCATTAGACTTGCTACAGTTTTCTTAGAAAATTTTTGGGAAAAAGAGAAAAAAATACTTTGAAATGACAAAATTTGTTTTTTATTTACACACGGTGCAATAAGACCACCTTCAATAAGACCTCTGACTGTAATTAGAAGACACTACTATTACACAAACTTTAGTTGTACAGTTAATATAATCTGAAACTCCATGGCTCTGTTCATTTAAGAAGCAGTTAGAAGTTTGTTTGAATAACAGCAAAATCTTCTCTTGATCAATAGCAAATAGTACTATCATCTTTACATTATATGTCTAAATTTAAAGCAAATACTCAACTTCAAGTATCATGACAGCCTTGTTATTTGGAAAGGAAGTGACAACATTCCACATAGTAATGATCAAAACTAGTGCAGAAGATAAAAATGTTTAGCACAGAATATGTTCTAAACTTAAGAGTTTCAGCATGAAATTGTTCAACCCTGATGGAATATATCTGTTTCTTCCCAACACAGGTATTGCAAAGAAGTTATTAAACCAGTAGAGAGTGTGTTCATACATGGAGGGGCAGAGGGAATGACAATTATTTCCATACTCCTCTACTACATTATCAAATAATTTTAGATCCCTTTCAAGGCTCTTCAGTGATAATAGGCTGCCAGTGGAGAACATCAGCTTGCAAGGTGTCTCAAATATATCTGTGAAGAAGCATTTGGATGATGGAGAAGTGGTCAATGCAGCTGTGTTTGGTGTCAGCACCTAGAAAAGTGCTCTAGACAAACTAAGCATTGAGCACAGGTATTTGCATAACACATATTTGCAAAACAAAACAGTGGAAACTGAATCATAAACCATATGAGAAACCTATACTAAGGTTGACAAAATGCCAGGATACCATTCACTTCAACCATGATGCAGAACTCATGAAGTGATTTATGTCTGTCACATACACCTAAGTCTGTTCTATGAGCACTATTTTAAACTATCATAAAGAGAGCTTTGAGAAAAGGCACTGTACAAACACTGGCTTTTCAAAGTTGTGGAGATACTGTGAACACATTTATTTTGCAACATAGATCTCCAAAATCTTTGCTTGTTTGCAGGTAGGTACTTGCTCTAGTCCCAACAACTTTGGACTAGATTATTGAAAACCCTTTACTTCAAATCTTTTCTTTATCCACTCATGAAGTCAGGGCAATAATGAGCTGGTGACCAGCTGTTGTTGAAAAACCTTGGTGCATTATGCTGGCACTCTCAATTAAGTTGTGTACCTATGAGCCTCCTCCCTCTGTTATCCTGTCATTTTACAAGTATGTAAAGTGTTCAATCAAGACTACAATTTGTTATTTTAAACTAGCTGAATTGAGCTGGATTAGTTTTGGAAAAGAAAGGAGAATATTTAGATATTAGTGATGGATGCAACAGAAAAAAAAGCAATTAATGAGAGGTTAGCACCTAACCAACACAGAGCATACATTATGCTTTTCACTCATCCACATGACCCCAGATTTCTACGGGTGTACCACTGACAACCTCCATGCATACAGAAATAGACGTATCACATTAATCAAACCCTATGTTATCAACACCAGAATCAATACAGTTCTTCCATTAATACTCCCATATCTGCTGCCAAATAACACAGCTGATTTTTTCAAAGCACAATTTAAATTCAAATATACTCCAACAAGTCCCTTAACATAATGTAATGCTACTGTTGTTAATTATAACAACTTTATTACTCTAATAAAGATCTTCACTGTAAGGATTCTAAGCATTAGTTGTTTATTGATAAATTATTTCATGCAGCAGGTCTACAAAGGCAATGGCAGTGAATCTTTAAAAAGGCAAAAAACTCACCTATTATTACTACTGGAAGAGTAAGAAGGGAGTCCCCAGGCAGAACAGTTTCTTCAATTAAAGGCATTCTTTTAATCTTCCTCCCAAGGCTATCACCAAAGTACTGAACAAAGGAATCCAAAAGCTGTCCTTCGGTTTCAGTGCTGCTGTAAGTTCTAATTAAGAAAGACAGATGGGAGAAAACTAAAATGAAACAGTGAACTGTTGTCAGAACAGCCTCTTGAAAAATAGTCACTTTTGATGTTTTACTTTAAAAGGTATGAAACTGGCAAAATCAAGACCAAAACAGATATGTATCTACACAATTTTACTTTTCAGCACAGCTTTTCTAACAGAAGATTTTTTAAAAGTCTACTTTCTCCCAGCAAGTCTACAGAAGGATAACAAAGAGGCACAGATGGCTCTGCAGAAGTGCAGATTTCTAATCTCAGTTTATACAAAGCCAAAGTATAGCCACAAGCATTATTTTGATCCCACACACAGTAGAACTCATTCCTCATTATCCTTATCAAATCAGGAGATACACACTGCCTAGCCAATTAGCAACATTAAGGCCAGACAAAGCCTGAAAGAGCAGCTAAGGTAGAGCAGCAGCATTCAAATCCCTTCCTGCTGGCTGAGCAGCACACAGGACTTACCTCAACAAATTTCCATTCAGAGAGAAGTGAGGCTGGTTAAAGCTGGCAGTTGTGTGAGGATGGATCCTTGTGAAGTGATCCCTTTATGCCCTAGACATATATATACACTTAAGTTTCTCTTCTAACTCTTCACTGTGTAGATGTGCTTCTAAAATACAAAGACTTGTCTTGTAATGTTTTCTATTTAATTATTTAGGAGTCCTTTCTGAAACCTTTCCAGGTGATTGAAGAAGCACAGAAACTATCAGTCTAGCTAGAAAGACAGGGTCAAATTAAAAAGTCTGTTACTGCAGTCATTTTGTCAAGTCTTTTGTAAAGTAAGGACAACCAATTTTTAACCAAAAATACCGGTACCAACATGGGGATATTTTTATAGAAAAATTTCTAAAAAATTTTCTCTTTATAAACATGGTTAATTATAAAAAATAAATAAAAGTACTCTTGTCTATTTCCTAAGACTTTGCATATCTTAAAGCTATTCTAGCATTTCAGCAATTATTTTCTACACAGGATCAAAACTGTAAGACACTGATCCAATTCCCAGGGCCTTCAAGAAGCCATGTAAACCACATACTCCCTCAACTCCCACAGCACCCAAGATTCTGTTTCAAAAGCCTTTCCTCTGTGGGGAAGTCTGAAGTAAACTGGAGACAGAGCTGTGCAGTAACAACAGCAGTAGCACGATCTGTAACTCATCTCTCTGATGGCATTGTTAAAAAGGGTGGGGAGCTATTCTGAGGTTGCATTTATTTTGGAAAGTACTTGATATCACTATTCCCTGCAGTACAAGAGGAAAAAAAAAAAAAAGCAAATTACTTGCTTACTGTTTCATTACATCTGCACATTAGTTCTTGCAGACACCTAACCCCCAAACAGCATGAACTAGATGAAAACAAGGAGTCAGAGAGGGGATATCTAATTATCATACTGATTTTTTCACCTCTGCTTTTAGAAAGGAGCAGGTAGACTATTTTATTTTCCAGCCTTTGCTCAAAGTTGACTAAGTCAATACTACCTTATGTTTTGCAAAAGACAGGCTTAAGGGGAGCAGGCATGCTTTAGTGTGGCTTTACTATACTTGCTGTGCTTGATGGAACATAAAACCAAAGGAAACATTTCAAAACTTCTTTTAAGAGATATATGCACAATGCTGTAGGCTACAGAAGAATCTTTTAACAAGAAAAATGTTGCTTTTATGCAGCTTAGTGTATTACAAATTACCACACTAGTGATTTTGCACACAATGTGCAGTTTCTTATTCTGCACACAATGTACAGTTTCTCATTCTTTGCACAAGAATACCTGCACACAAAATGTAGTGCATACGAAGGAGTGTTGTTAGCAGCATGTTCTTCCTTTGCAAGAACATCATACCAGACCCAGCAAGATCTGAAGTTAGGGGCCATCACCTTTCTAACCTCTGAGCATCACTGAAAGCCACCAAGTACCAGCAGTTTTCACCTTGATAAAACTTACAGTAGACAGCTTTGCAGTGGTGGGGACTTGGCACAATCACCTACGGCTCTAATCCTGCAGACATGTAAGTGGGCACAAGATGAGTCAGTTCCAACACTAGTGCCTAATTTATCTTATATTGGTCACTCAAATAACCTGGGGAGTTACATTCTGTCAATCGCCGCCCAGATTCTAAACATATGCAAACAAAACGCAACATACACATAACAGTTCTTCTTCCATTTGAAAAAGCTAATAATAATAATAATAATAATTTTATAACAACTCGTAATTTGTTGCAAGTTATTAAAATAAATACGTTTTTCAAGCAGCCGTTTTGAAAGATGCTAGAATACACTGCGTACTGTTAGGGGGAAAAAAAGAAAAAATAAAAAAAAAAAAAGAAAGAAACGGACTGTGGTAGGCGGTTAACAGAAAACCCGTTATATAAAAGGAATCTGAATTTGTTCTCAACCTGACACTTCGAGAAGAGAATTTACCGCTGCCAGACTGTCGGATTTCGTTCAGCTCAGCGGGCGGAGCGGTGCCCGCGGGGCCGGCATCCCGGGCGGTGCGGCGCTGCGAGCCCCGCAGCGGCACCGAGCATCGGCGGGCGCGGGCTGCCCCCGGCCCGGCTGCGCTGCCCAAGGTCACGGCGCGCCCGCCCGGGCCCCGCCGCCGCCATCCGTCCCCGGCGGGGCCGTGCGGGGCCGGGCAGCGCCGCGCTCGCCGCCGCAGCCCCGCGGAGGCCGCGGCCCCGCCGGGATCCCCGTCCTGCCCGCGCCGCCCCGGCGCCGCCCGCGGCCCGGCTCCCGCGCCGCCCCGCCGGCCCCGCCGCCGCCTCACCTGAAGTGACCGGCCAGGGAGCAGCGGCAGCACCACACGGGCATGGGAGCGCCGGCGGGGCCCAGCGATGAGGCTGCGGGAGACTCCGCACGCCGGCTCCCGCTCCTCCTCCTGCCGCCGCCACTGTGGGACCGCGCCGCGCCGTCCCTCCTCCCCGCTCACATGCGGCACCGGGTCACACGGGAGGAGGAGCCGCCGCCAGCACCGGCAGGGAGGAGGAGGGACGAGCGGCTTGAGCAGAAAGGAGGAGAGCAGAGACGCGGAGAGAGCGGGGAGGAGAGTACCGCTTTCCCCTGCTGGGCTGCCGCGGCCCCGCGGCCCCGCTCCCGCAGGAAGATGCGGGATGCGCCGCCTCCCCCGGGGAGGGCGGGCAGCCCCGGCCCGGCGCGGGCAGCCCCGGCCCGGCGCGGGCAGCCCCGGCCCGGCGCGGGCAGCCCCGGCCCGGCGCGGGCAGCCCCGGC